ATTAACCGTGGTGTTTTATTGCCAGACTGTATACATCGGTTTTCCGGTAAATTCGATTGCTAGTTAGCGTCTTTTAAGCGAGTCAGTTTTCTGTGGGATTAGGTCGCTAACCCCATATCCATTCCTCCCCCCTTATCCGGGCTTGGGACCTGCAGTAGCCTCAGAGGGGCTCCAGGCGGAGTTAAACGCGATTGCATTTTAGTCAAATCATTCGTTTTATAAACATGAGGTTTATAAAATGAGCTGTCAATAAAATGGACGGATAGATGATTCAAATAGTAAAAACTGGTTTAAAAATACTTAAGATCATTAACGTATGGCATAATCTTACTAATCCGTTTTCGACATACTGAGATTTGTAAATCTAATGATTACATATATTTGCTGTCACTATAGTTTATCATATTATATGTAAGCAATATTGATTTTAGTATCCAATCCTTCCATGATTAGATAATTAATATAAGTTTTATGGTTTGGCACGTTTTGTCTACTTATTTATTCTAATGAATTTATAATTTGCATATCGAAGACAATATTTCTTATGAGGTGAAGGACAGTTTTTTCATCAGTTTACATAGAGTTTTGTTTAAAATCATGTTATTAGCTATAACAACCTGAATTATGTACCAGAATATTTAAAAAGACTGAAGTGTCGTACGTAATGGTTGGCATTTTTTCATTGTTGATAATAAAGACAACAATCAATCAGTTTCTGTTGAACTATAGGAATCGTGGATGAATTTTCTCGATATAGATTTTATTTACACGTTGGTGGGCTTTTAGAATCAGAAGCCTAATTGATAACGTGTTTGCATTAGAAGAGAAAACATTATGTCTAATTCTCACTTCAAACACTAACATCAAGGTGTGGTTATATCCATTTACTGAGTCCCACGTTCTGAATCATACTGCTATCCATAACCTGGGTATACTAAAGATTTAAATAATATCGATTTACGGAACAGATATACATAGCAGTTACATGAATGTGTGACATAACAGCCGATGCAATTTTGTTATTCCCAAAAGTAGGTTAATGAAAGCAGCGGCCTTTGGATGAGAATTAGGCATAAATGTTTCCAAACGCGGAATTCATACTACCATCAATGTTAGTCTTTATAGATTCAAGCAAACAATAATATATATATATACGTAAGAAAATAAATAATAGTTACCTTATTAAAACATTATTCTACAAATTGAAGTTAGCTAGCGATAATGAGGCGATTAATATTTCTGAGTTTTTCTCTGTACTACCGCAATATGCTTTCTTAATACTAAATGGAGATTAAAAACTGTAGTTTCAACTGGTTTTCAGTCATATAAATTATAACCTAAGTTTAAGTCCTTAATAATTTAATAAGCTTATTTTAGAAGGTCTGAAGTAGACTCATATAGCTTCTGACCTGTATCTGAAATATGTCTGTCATTTAAGTATGTATCCACTCCATGCCTGTTGACCTGTTCATAGACACATATTAGTGGTGCTCAGTCATAAGTATCCAATTTTCACAACAGTGGATTTGTTTGGACTTCTAGGCATTTGTAAATTGTCATGAATGGAAAAAAAAGGATTAACTAAGGTTCTGACCGTATTTTCAAAATGTCAGAATAATAACTCACGTAAATTTTGAACTACTTGTCAGTTCTGACTACAAATAATTTTGAGAAATGTTTGTTTTATATGAAACTATATTAACCTTAAGTGGTAGATGAATAAGTCATTTAGGACTTTACCAGAGTTATATGATGTGAAAACATAAAAAAATATTTATTGACATTTAGCAACCTGAATTGCCTTTTTTTACAAGTAGATTTTGCACTGATTTACTTGGAAGACATGCTTGGATGTGGTGCCGAAAAGGATACAAATTTTTTTGTGGATGGTTGTTACGACATTTCACTAATCCAAACATAGTAGAAATCTGTAAACACTATATTATTTCGAGTGTTCACCTTTTGAATAACAAGATGTATTCTTGGTTTCTATGATGACTATATAATTATGAGTTAGGCATTAAGTCGAAGGAATCTACAAGCAAATATGTTGGTTTCTTGTGTATGTTAGATTATGCATGATATTGGGACTAAACTAACTCATAAATATTGATTATTGTTTGCAAAACCAACGAAAAACAAAAGGCCCATCTTTTATAGTTTTTTTTAAATAACTAAATATATATTCTGAAAATAATTACGTAATATATACTGGTTAACAAGCATGATGAAGTTGATACAGATGGCAACGTTGCATGCAAAGGACAGACATAAGATTTTAGACTGCTTGATGTGTTACAGTTCAAAAACTTGATGTACATTGAACGTACATTCTTCTCATGGATTGCGACAGTGTGCGGCATCAGTTGGGAACTATTAATTATTTGTAAGGAGACTAGAACATCCTATTGATGTACGAACCGTGTATTTAGGGTCATTTCTAGTCCTATGACAGAATAACTAATATTACCTACAGCTAGAGAAAAAAAACAGAAACAGAAAGCACAGAGCAGCAATACTAATGATAACTGCGATATGTATACATTTATAAATGCTTCAGGTTGTCTTATAATCTAATGTTTGGGTAAGATATTATTTTAATTAAAGTTTCATTTGGATAGTGTAAATATAATATATCGACAGGAGGGAAATTTTAATCAGTATGCTCAGTAGTAATGATTATAAAACATTTCATTTTCCTATAATTTCACAAGTGGAATGAAATAAATTAAGAGGTGCAAACAAATTTAAGTCAGATTCAGAGGAGAAGCACAAATTGATGTAACGAAAAAATGACAGATATGATGCTTTCTCATTGATAGACTGTAGACAATTATTCCAATCTCAAAAAATTATTAGTAAAATAATTCATATAGAAGAAAGTTTTAGAATAAAACCTTTTCACTTATGTTACATGTTTAGGATGCTTTGTGGTTTAGACTAATTGCTTCCCGTCACAAAACATCAGTGAGTAGATCCAACTGATTGATGTAAATGCCCGTCACAGTGCAGTAGTAAATAACAATGTCATTATATTAGTCAAACAATGACCGACTTTCAGTAGATTTTATTTAAGCTTTACCAGCAACCAGTAGAATTAAATGGATACCCACCTCACGTTGGATTTAAACAGTCAATAAAGGGTATGAATCAATAATAATTTTATCTTGATGACACCAGTGTAATAACCGAAATTCATCATGCATTGTTGGATATAAATCAAATCGTAACCGATTTTAATTTTTAAATCCTAACCAACTCAATGGAGAGAATACTTGATGTGCGGAAAAAATCTCTTACGACTACAAAGTGGCCACTCTCATATAATTGTCTCCGAATAAAATACTTACAATATAATAAAAAATGCTATAGAAAACTTCCGCATCAAATGTCCAAAGAGTTGAATTCTAGTGCCGAAATAAGAAATCCAATATCTACATAGAAAATAGCAAGCACAAGATAAACTGATGGACGATCTGACTGGATCAAATATTTTTAAAACATCTAGATCAGAATTTGTTGTAGTTAGTAGGAAGTCAATAATACTACACTTGAATGTCGTTCCTGTTTAATTGTCCTGTTTAGACATTTAAAATGTTTTAGTGTTAACTTATGCGTAATACTTATAACTCGTGCTATCCAACTCCAGTATTTATTCGAAAATTTAAAGCTAATGGTATTCCGTATCGGGTAGAGACATGTACAATAAAAGATGGTCGCGCAATTTTGTGGATTGGTTAAAGTTAGGCATTAACACCGTTGGATGCTGGCTCGGTGGTCCAAAGGTTAAGTGTTCGCGCATAGGACTGCAGGCCCTATGTTCGAATCCCGCTGGCGGGATCGTAGGTGTGTACTGCTGACGTTCCACAATAGGACGAATCGGCCGTCCAGTGCTTCCAGGACTTCAATGGTGGTCTAACACCAATCGGTTCACGATTTCAATCAAAAACTTAACAATCTCCACAACCCCATACTGCTAAAAAATTACTGTTTGATCAAAATGTCTTAACTTCATCATGCTTTCATTTCAGTAGATTGAAATGAATACTTTTTAGTCTGGTAGAAAATGTATCGCTCACAATTTATTTCTAGACCCATAGTACAAGTAAAGATAATTTTTAAGGGGATAATTATTTATACCTAAAATATTGATATTATGTAATAAAAAGAGAAATAAGAGGTTTTTAGCAGAAAAACGTTTAAACAGTGTAATGAATTTACAATGACAAAGAGAAATGAAAGTTCATTGTCGATTAGTAAATCCTTGTTTTATAAGTTATATTAACATGTCCAAGTACCTTGCATAAAAGTATTCCATTCCTTAACTCCTTAATACATTCAACCATTAAGTTAGTGGATTTATACTTTCAAATTCTTCCACTTGGGATTTGTCAAATAGTTTTGGATTTGATAAGTTTTCGTTGTATGCGGAACGATACACTAAACGTACTGACTGATATTCTTCCTAAACGTCTTAGACTTCATAAATGAGTTGTTTTAAATTATAAGAATCATTATTATATCTCGTTCATAGTATGATATCTGAATTTAACAGATCATGTTAATCAAAGAATACACTATAAAAACTTATCTAACTGACTTGGTAGTGTATTTTTATTATTCATGAGCAATTCGCAGGAAAATAACACTTTATTCGAGATCGAGTCTAGGTTGACCATTTTTCTACTTGATCCTCTTAGCTGAACACCTTTGAACAGATGACTCCTTACCTATAACATTCGATTCTGACTATCATGAAATATACAACGATGAGAGTTAAATTTACATGAAATCCTTTCTTCTTTTCCAGTCATATCACTGTTCATTATTCAGTTCTTTACAAGATGTTACATATTAGAATCAAGTATATTTATATGTAAATGTCCTAGAAGCGAAAATTAATCAATATTTTCAAACTTTATTTTTGTATATAAAATTTTGTCATTTATCGTATCCTATTTTGTATATGTATGCATAACTACATCTACAGTGGGGAATGACAACTTTCTGTACAATCTGATTGGGCCATTGGAGTTTGAGTGGTTGTATTTGACCATCTGAAATCTGAAAAATGTTTCCTTGAATCACTGTTAGTTTGTATTTTTTTGTGTACTCATATATATATATATATATATATATATAAAATGAAGAGTATATTTCTCCGCCCTCATTTCGTTCCTATAACACTTACGCATTAACTTTGTCAACTATAAACTCAGTTTAATTTATTTTGACTAACAAAACTTAGATTTTAGTATCTAGTACCATAATCTGTTGTTTTTAGGAGAAATAGTATTTAGTTCATATGCTAAAATATTACACTTGTACATTTTTGTGTTACATTTGTCTCATCATTGTCATCGAGGCAAGGACAAGAACAAAGGATTATGATAAAAACTTGGGCGTGAAAGCAGTAACAAGACTGGTAAGTATTTATTTAGTTTGTTTTTTCCTTTAGACCTTAATATTTAAGCCAATTTGTCAACTTTTTGTCGATTTTGTCATATCATCATAAGCAGTCCATTTAATATTGGATTGGAGAACTATAACGGGATTTTTAAAATATTTTAAAATACTTACTAAGAAAAGAAATATTTTCCTGCATTATCAACGAGTTGATGAATTGGGATGACATTACAATCTTAACGAACATGGATGTTTTCATTAAATGTCACACATATATTTGTTCAAAATAGGGAAGAGACAGCTTAAAGTGAAGTTGCTTTATTCCAGAGATAGACAATTTTATTATTTCTTCAAAGTTGCTAAACATCACGAGCAGTTTTAATACATATACTTCTCTACATTGATTGGGATCGCTCAACTAGTCAAATAACTTAATTTTGATATAAGTTGGTTATAAAAAATCAGTGGGTAAGGGTGAACTTAGCTTTTTCCATAGCTGTCGTTCCTCATCCAAGTGTATCTACCAATCATTAATCAAGTGGATTTCCTCGTGAAACTAGAACCGGTGTCGCCTATTATCACAGTCAGAAGTGTCAGTCAGCTGTTCCATAGAATTAAGACAAGATTGACGACTGAATAAATGATACATTAACGATTATTTAGTGTTCAAACAGTGTAAATACTTAATATGTTACTTTATTTTATTCTATTACGAAGTAGAATCATTCTATCAGTAAAAATGTCTATACTTACTACAAGATTCCTTTTTCGTTATTAAAGTTTCATCATACGTGAGATTATCAGGACTCAGTTTGATGTATATATGTAAATATATATATATATATATATATATTTGGTGTCCCGAAGTGAACATCAACTCTGCGATGCAGGTATATCCAACTGACGAGTCCCAAATAGGATGAAACGCGCGTCCTGGATTCCACTGCTAGCCACTATCCATCTTTGCTTAAAAAGCTTGTGACTTAAGGCTATATAGAGGTAATCCGCACTGGATGCATATATGCCAACATGAGACTGATCAATTGCAGTCCTAAATAACAATGGGAAGATACAAGTAAAACAACACCAAGTGAACTTATATAAAATTTAGTTATGAAGAAATGATATAGGATCTTTTAGATGCACTTCTATTTTCAACTTAATATGTGTTGTTAATGAATGCTTAACCATAAAGTTAATTTTAGGACTGAAAACGAAAATATGAAACTTCAAATCACTTTAGGAATATCTGAAGTACTCTAGAAGACTATAAATGTTCGCTTAAAAAGGCTGTGAATGAATTTTCTCATGCATTTCGAAACACAAGTAAATTTATAGACTGCATAAGATGCTAGCGTGCATCTATCAAGGATTGACACGGACGTTGAATTAGATAAGTATCTATTTAATCATTCTATTTGTATAAGCTAGATTACTGTATCAGCACGAACATCAATGGATGAACTGATAATACCATTATACAATAATTCATCTACTGAAATACGTCATTGAAAACTTAAGAAAATGATATATAGTTGTTTTTTTCTTAGTTTCCAACTCTTAGGTAGTAATTGTTCACAGTTTTATGCACAACTAAATTTTAAAAGAAGTTTCATTAAGGTTAATTTTACTGAGTTTAAATCAACTAATTTATATTTCTGTAAGATTACATTCAAAGAACATTTCTAATAGTAGTAGAAGTATTAGTATTAGTAGTAGTAGTAGTAGTAGTAGCGTTGTATGATTTGATTACATTCCTATAGAGTAGGTAATGATGTTCCAAGTATTTATTCGATATATTTCTGTACAGGAGAATACCACATTAAAATGAATGCAGCCATCAAAGCAGCTATTATTCCATAGAAATATAACACAGAAATAGTGATATGATGATCAATAATCACCTAGTTACTTACTAAATTGGTACACTAAAATAATATGGTTATATTTTGGGCTATTAATATTTGAATCTTAAAAATGTAGAGATTTTTCAGTTACAAATATGCAAGATTACCGATTGATATAGTCTGAAATGTGTCATATATATGTCAATTCGTTAAGAAATTATGTTTTGCTTATGTTGTAGCAACTCAGGGCATATTTTAAGGTAGAATATAGCATAAAAATATATAGTTATCATTCATTAAGTCCAGTGATATAAGTTTTATATAGGGATCTTAATTAGGCTTCAGTGTGTCAAACATCTATTGTACCTTGTGAGGGAAGTAATTCATGATTACTTTTATTTGTATTTGCCTTCGCTAGCCTACATTTACAGAGCTCAAAATAAATACACTCATTAAAATCTTGCAGCACTCTCCTGTAGTCCGAGTTATTATTATTATTGTTTACTATTTGAATACATAAATATTGGCACAAAGGAACACTGAACACATATGCGCCACACAAGTCACTTCATTTATGTGTGGGTGCCCAGGTGGTCTTTTTAAGGTGCCACACCAGGGGCCTTCGACCTAAAGGTCTAATCCCTAAGGGAGTGGAGCAACGTCAGGGGATACAGTCCCACCGCTCATACGCCATTTTTTTCCTTCAAGGTTCTGGATCTCATGTGTACCATTGGTTTGGAATAAAGGTTTTCTAACTCCCCTAGGTGGATCCTCCGTGTTCGCCAATCATGTTTAGGCGCCGGACATTCAGTTTCGTAATCAACACCCCCGTCACGAGAAGGCAGTGAGTTGGACTTCCCTGGCTATGTGAGAGCGTTTGGAGAGGGAGAGCTGACTCTCACCACCTTCAGTTAAAGGTTCAGTGGTAACCTAAAATAAGGGAAATACATGAACATAATAATCTAGCTATTAGTTACTCATACAGAGAAATATAAACAATAACACACCGTAAAAGAGTCCCAAAGTTATTGTACTATCCATCCGGTACGTCTTTAAATTTGATTTTTTTTTGAGGTAACACTTTTTACAATGATAAAACAGTATATAGTCTGGTTATTCAGTGGAATTTATTTATTAAACAAAATAATTAGTCTACAGACGCCATTTATTTGCATGGTATTCGTTTTTATGAGCAATGGTTGCTCTAGAACTGTTAACACTGATATCAGATTATGAGAATAACATTATTTAACAGATAAATGAGAGTATATATGACCATTTTTTTATTTAACTTCCTACATTTTAGTGTGGTATGGAAGGAGAGGAATGCATGGATGATTTCAATTGTTGTGAAGAGTATGAATGCAGCCCTGATTGTAAGTAAGATTAAGTTTATTATTATACAGAAACACTTGTTATGTTAGTAGCATAAATAATTCATTATGAGTATCTCATGAAGTTAGATTATGTAATAATGTAATCTAATTACATGAGTATTGATGTGCCAAGTGGTAGACTAGTCCCTAAAACAATGAGGCTGCAGATTTGACCTAGAAAAGGCCTACTGCAATTTGACGACCAGGTATTATCACTAATAATGGTGAAAGCCGAATAAACGAACCACCGGTTTACAGAATACATTTTTAACTTTATAGCTTTCTAAAGAATGTTTGTATGACAGATGAAATATTTAGAACTTCATATAAATTAAAACTTTGATTACATAAACTAGCAATATTGTTACGAAATAAGTAGCTTTCTTGTGGACGGCTTTCATCAAGAGTTGGTATCAGTTGAAAATTCTAAAACCCGAAACAAATCTTTACATTGTTTTATGAAGTAATTCTTTTAAGTATACTGTCAGTTTCTCCCATGATACTGCTGAAGCATTATGTTTTTATCGTAACAAATGAAAATGTTCAGAACTATTCACTGAGCTTTGTCATGTTATAATTAGTGCAAAATAATAATATCTATGCATTGAAAATGCATCTTTTGATTTAGATACAGTCGATACTCATAGCTGTTATATCTTTTTGTTAGTTTCAACTTGTAATGTAAGTCATTTAAATGTTATGCTGATATTGTTAATAAACCATATACTGAATCTATAGTAACACTCTAAGTATTGTTCAAAACTATTAACATGTTTTACATATATCGAAATGTGATAAACATGATTTTCTTATACTCCTACCATGTTAAATCGAAAGTGTTCATTAAGAAATGGAAATTTTGATATTGTCATGTTTAACATTAAAATTACTCATGATTGCTTATTGTGTAAGAATGTTTATTTAATGTGAAGTCAAAAGATTATATGAGAACATTCAACAATATCAACATAAGGATTATTTCTTGTATATCAACTATTTCAAATCATCAGTACAGGGTTGTTGAGATTATTAAGTTTTTCATTAACATCATGAACCGATTGATGATAGACCACCATTGGAAACCTGGAAGCACTGAATGGCTGTTACTTCCTATTATGAGACTCCTCAGCAATGTGCATCCAGAATACCGCTCGTGGGTTCGAATCCCGGTTCATGATATCAATCAGAAAAATATTTCAAATCAGCTTCACTCATTTCATTAATAAATATACTTATTTCAATAATATACATATTAAAGTTTTATTTTCAATGAATTTCATTTAATCATATTCAGTTTTATGATCTCAATTCGGAAAACTTTTAACCCTTGTAAATTATTTGTTTATTTTCAGAAATTTTAATCATTTCATAATATTTGGTATTAAAATTTCAACTACAGATTAAACCGATTCATTCAGTATACTTTGTATTTTTAGTTAGATTACTTTAGTCGGTTGATTTAATATACATTGTTATATTTAGTTCAATTACTTTATATTGTATTAATTTGTTATAATAGTCTAATTGTTAATGGACTAAATATTACTTCAAATTCCAGTTATTTTATAGCTAAGTCAGGGTAAATTATTCAAAAGTACGTTTCGTTTTCTACAGTTAAATAAGGGTAGTAGTTAATTTCAATATTCTTCGAAATCTGTTTCTTTTTTCTTAAAAAAAATCGAAACGTAAGCTGTTATCATCACCACCGTTAAGTGGATGTATTTCTTCTACGATTAAAATAAGTATAATAATAATAATAATTATTATTATTTATTCACTTTACTAATTACTTAGAGTCAACAAAATAAGTGATTCTAACTGCACATATATTACTGATTTTCAAATGATTAGTATCTAAGACACATTTTTTCTTTCGTTTTAAATATTCATAAGCTACTCATCTTTTTTAAAATTGAATATTTATCATACATAAAGCGATATTAGCAATTTTTTTGACTTAACCGATATTCTCTTGTAGGAAATATTTAAATTTGTATAACTTGTAAAGTGTAGTTGTCACTTTGAGGTCACTTTTTAAATGCTTCATCATATCTCTAATTAAATATCCCGGTTTATTATAATTTTTTTTAAAAAAGGTAAAACTTTCATTTCAGAAAAGTTATCTTCATTTTGTTTAAATACACTTATTGTACAAATTATAAAGTAGTTAGTCTCTATACAGACTTTTATCAAAGTTTATGATTCACTAGATCTTTCTGAAATGATTTCAAATGAATCAAGAAATCATTTAACACTGAAACGTGTTTGAATAGATTTACCTTAGTAACCTACAAATTTCCACTCTGCTTAACCTTTGTTTGATGTATAATAAAAAATATAGATATGGACCTTAATAAGTTAATATAAATGTCTTTTATCAATATTAGTTAAATGAATAGTAGTGGACATGATTTGTTCACTTTATGAATAATATACAACGCCTTAAAGAACTTATTATTCTATGAAGAACCAATCTATATTTCCATAAATGATCTATCAATGTATGATATTTATTATTTGTATAGTTGCCATATGTATGTAGAAATTACTGTTTTGTGATATATTCTACATTGATGATCATATAACTGATTTATTTAAGTAATATATTAAGATTATCTATAAATGTTCCTTAAATATATATATATATATATTATATGATTTTTTAAAAAGAATTCTTATTTTGAATTTTTTATTTTTATTTCAAATGATAGTACAATGTCAACTTAGAAATGCTAGAAATAAAATTGTTGGATCTTATCGAAATTTATGTGTAGCTGATTATGATTGTCCACCAGGATGGTGTTGTGAAGGCAAATTATATGCACGTCGTTGTACACAAGATTGTGGTAGAAAAACTGAACCAGATGTTGTTCCAGCTGGAAGTTATTATGGACGACAATTTTGGAATTTATGGGCACATAAACGTCATATGGATCGTAATCATTATTGAACATTTGATGGATAAATCAAACAAAAATATTATTCTCTTATTTATTCACTAAAGAATATTTGAAAACTTTAATTTGGTTGTGATAAACAGTAATGGTTGTGATATAACCGGTTGTGAATAAACTTCATTTCATTTGAATTTTAGAAGAAAGTTTAAAACTGTGTTTACTTATAAATCAATTAAATTATTCTCATTACCACTCAGTATTTATCAGTTATATTTATAGTGAAACGCATCTCAGTCAGTCATACAAAACGAAGCATCCATCATATATGTATTAGTCCAAGTTACTACACCACATTAGTATAACGAGTTACCAGAATAGTGTCAATAATAACAGAACTGGTGGTAGTAGCAAATATTAATTATCGAATATATATATCAAGAAGTATGGATTGGTGTGATATAAAAGAATTTTTAGGTTGATTGTGAAACTTATGTTGACAAGGGAAACAAAAGCTTAATACATATGCAGCATTGTGAAATATTACAACCCATGTCAACCAAAGTCTCTAACGATTGTACGTGATAACCGAGATGAAATTAACCAGGTAACCTCCAGCTAAATAGCATTTCTCATCCCAAAAGTCAATGACTTCACGAACAGCCATTAGTTCTCTCCAACTTACCCCTACGCTGGCCATTATAATAGATCCAGGTAGGTGGTGTTTCGACATACGATGATTCTTTATACTTACCTAATACCTAGTCTGATCTCAGCATTTATCACTAAGTAATCCCAATTTACGTGATCAAAACTTCGAAGGTCTCTGTGAGTGTAATAACCCACATATATCTTCATTTTTAAAAAACCATGTTTCATAGCTATAATGTAAAACTACAGAATTCTGAGCAGTAAATTCATCCTTTGTTGGGTGACAGATACCTTGCATACATCGCAAAACTAAGCCGAGGTATCCGAATCCACACCGAGAATTCGCCAGACACTGGCCTAATAGAACTAATCAGATTTCTAAAATAACTGAAAAAACTGACGAACTCAATCACTTCAATCTATATCATTAATTAAGGTACTGACATAGGGCAGTCCTGAAGCAATGTTTTTGTTTAGTGAGAGAGAACTACATCCTAAACATAATTGAATTGTTACTTAAGGTAGTCAGAGGACTCTGATTTTTTCACCATTCTTGCCAAATCGGACTATATTATTTATTTATTCGAAGTGAACGTGTGGATATCCTTGTAGGAGATCAGTTCCAGAAAAGTTAGACAATAGGAACGCTGTCTTTAAAAGGATATCTACAAAAGGTTGAATGAAACTGTTGGAAACAAACAACTCAGATGAACTCCACTTCAGTCTATCTTGTCCGATGGTTGTTCACTATAAGCTCTGTTCGAAAATAGAGTTTGTACAAGGCTACTTTACTTCTTTCTTTGGTAAGTCATGCTTCACGTTCTTTTGAAGAACATTTGGGAGGAAGAACAAGTACTGATGGACTGAAAAGAAGGATATCTCGTCAAGATACCAAAAAAGGGATCTGAGTAAATGTGAAGACTGCAGAGGCACCACACTACTGTCAGTACCGAGACAGTTTTCAACAGAGTGTGGCTTAACAGGATGAAAGACACAGTAGACGTTCAGCTTCGAGATCTACAGACCGGATTCTATAAGTATCAGTCGTGCACAAACCAAATTACGAAACTGCGGATCATCACTGGATGGAACTCGTCACAATACATCAACATCCTTGACTATGAGAAAGCACTTGACAGTCTGGATAGGAAAAGACTATGGAAACTTCGACACGATAGAGCACCTGAGAAAATCGTCAAAATCATCCGGAATTCAAACGACGCACTACGGCGCAAAAGCGTGAATGAAGGACAGTTGACAGATGCATTCCAAGTAAGGAGCGAAGTCAGACAAGTTTGCTTACTCTATCCCTTTCTCTTTAATCTGGTAGTCGACTGGATTATGAAGACCTTGACATCTGAAGGGAAGCATGGAATTCAATGGATAGGTTGGATGCAACTAGACGATTTGTACTTCGCGAATGATCCAGCCCTTCTACCTCATCCACACCAGTAAATGCAGGTCAAGACGACCAGTGTAGCAGAAGCCTGTGCATCAGTAGGCCTCAACATACACAGAGGAAACAGCAAGATCCTCAGTTACACCATGAAGAACACCGACACAATCACACTTGATGGAGAAGCTCTGAAAGAGTTGGAAAGTTTTACGTAGATGGTAAGAAGTATCATCGATGAACAAGGAGGATCAGATGCAGACATAAAGGCAAAACAATGACAGGATTCCCACGGTTGAAGAATATATGGAACTCAAAACGACTGTCAACCGATGTCAAAGTCAGAATATTCAATGTGAACATCAAGACAGTTCTACTGTACGGAGCTGGAACTTGGAGAACTACTACAACCGTCATCAAAAGGGTACAAGTATTTACAAATAGTTGTCTAAGCAAGATACTCAATATGCATTGGTCAGATACCATCAGAAACAGCCTACTGTGGGGGAGAACAAACCAGCTTCCAGCTGAAGAGGGAATTTGGAAAAGACGATGGAAATGGATAGGACATAAATTACGCAAATCCTCAAACTGCATCAGGAGGTAGGCGGTAGCTCGGGATCCTGAATGGAAATGGAACAGATTAAGACGGGACACACTGCATCGGGAATCGTGAGTAGACATCAATAGAATGAATAACGGTTGGAGACAATTGAAAAGGTTTGTTCTGAACTGGAGGGGGGTTAAAAAGCAAGTAATTTACTGAAAAATGAGGATAGTTTTATGTTTGTTCGGTAGTTTACTTAAATACCATAGTTATTGATCTCCAGTTACAGCTCTATTTGTTAATTTTTCTTATTCCTAATGTTGTCTGATTTGATTATATTTACTTGCATCTCTATATAACGATCAAGTAATACAAACAGTTCAGCCCTACTGAAGGATAGTCGGCACTTAGTTGGTTTATTGTTAACGTTTTTCACTTTAACACTAATTGACAAGACTTCAGATTCCACACTAAATATCATGACTTTTGAGGCTGAATGGATCACTGAAGAAACAATGAGAAAATGGAAATCCTTAATTAATAGTAAATGTCGTAAATGTTGCACAAGTTGGTAGTTATTATGACTCAGCAGTCGAATTTAAAGAGCTTTAATGAGATGGGTATCGTATGTCGATTCTTCATGGAAACATCTAAACTGGTATATAAGTACATTCATGTGATGAGTTCTGAGACCTGCTTTCTGGATTCCAATACTATCCACTATTCAGATGACCAGTTTAAACACATTACATATTTTATACCACTATTCTATTTCACAGATGAAAATAACGAAAATATCTTTATTTATTCATGAGGTCAATGTAATATTATTGAAACTGAAGGTCATTACTCAGATAGACAATGGATTGATATTTTAATATGTCTTAATGTATATATTATGGTACATCATTCAATTTTGCATTATATCAACTTGCCTCTAGCAAATTGTCCGACCTTTTACTTGAGAAATACAATTGGATACAAAATACAGCTTGATTGGTAAAAGAATTAAATTAAACTCTCTCTTATAATAAATATATATTAAAAAAATGTCGAGAAAAATTCCAGTTTAACCCAATGATGACTTTCCCATAGATGTTATTCATCACCGTTCCTTTTTTCCACAGTCTATTTTAAACTCAAGAGGCTCAATTAGCTGAAAAAATATTGAATATTGTCCTGATACCTAGAACCTGGTGCAACTTCTTCTGTAGTGTGTATATCTGACCTTATTTTAAGACAGAAAGTCAACAAATCCAGTTCATTTAGTAATTTATTCATTGGTGATATACATTTTCTTCCCGAATAAGTGATTGGCTGCTTAGACGAAATTTATTCTAAATTATTATGTATTCTCATGGTTATCTACTAAATTTCCAAAGGTTATATTTAACAAGTTTCCTAATTCCTTTTATTATACTATACGGCACTACTTTAGATGAGAAAAAACACCAAACTAGAAAGTCGTTCATTTAACAATAAAATTGGAAATTGATTTATTATCGAAAATGCTTCTCCAAGTTATTGAAAACGTTTTTGAATGTAATGCTGTAGTGGAATATTGAAAGATTATTATTCATTTCTATTGGTTTTTAATAGTCATTGTATTTTTCATTCATAAAATCATCTCATTTTCAGATGTCAATGCAACCAGACTTTACGGTTAGGAGGCAGCACTGAATTAATTTAGATACCATCGTTGAGCGACACATACACAAAACACTAAAATAATCAATTTTATTTGTCGGGCAACAACAGAAAACCGTGTAGATTGTAAAACTAGTCATAATAATTAGGCAATAATAACTGATTGTATTATTATAGATTTAATAGTAAATATAAGAATAATGAAGATATAGCAGTAAGATAAAGAAAATATTTCAGCATTTATTAACCTAGAGGAATTCATTAAGATTAATAATCTTTAAAACTAACGTACGATTAACTGATGAAGTCTGTGAACAAGCAGTGTAATTTAATGCATTTAAATGGATAAAACGAAACTGACTGTTATAGTCTTATTCATCAGATAACCATTGTTGACAAAATGTGATTAAAAGTTGATGTGTTTTGAGTTTGTTTGATTTTTGCCTAATCATGAAGGTCAATCCTAACTAAATTGTTGGCCAATTCGTTTGAAATTACGCTCTCTACATGTGCAAACTGACTCAGTAAATTAGTAGAAAGTATTGAAATATGGGAACCTCACAAAGGTTTCAAACAGTCACTACGAACCAATTAGCAAATAATAAAAGATGGCTGCCTGCACAAATGATAGTGATAATAACTTGATAATAATAAATTTCTACTTTACATTTCTGTTCAGATGCAGAGTTGCGGAAGTATCGTCAAAATATTCATGGTCCTGCACGCGGGACTCGAACCCGGGACCTTCGGTCTCGAGAGCGAACGCTTAACCTCTAAACCACTGAGCCGGCATCAAACGAAACGAGCATCCAGTGCCTCCAGGTTTTCCATGGTGGTCTAGCTTCAATCAACTCATAAATATTCAACCTTTAAATTACTACGATCTCCGCAAAAACCCACAGTTATATTTGTTTGGAGAATGTTTTATTTATATAAAACTTTTTGATGATAATAATTGTGTTTTATTAACTGAACAGTTTAGCAAACAATCCGAAAAATCTTAGACAGTTTCTAAGAAAAACAATCATTCGGTTGAATTTTACAGAGGAAACTAGGTGCCTGACCTCATTTCCAGTAACCTTACTAATTTATACAAGCTAAGGCTTCCAATGATTCAACTATTATGAAGTCAAATTTCAGAACGTTCTTTGTTTTCGAAAACTTTTTAACTGTTTTATAATTAGTTCGTAAACTGATTCTTGAATTTGAACGTTATAAATCATGAAGATTGATATCTCACTTTATACTTAAAATTGATAGAAGCTATTTGGAAACAATAAGAATTTACAGAATAATATTCAACTATCAGTCGATCAATCACTATTCAAAACATTTGTCAAGCCAGAAATAATATTACCATCCTTTCTTTGCGTTTCACAACTATTCTTCAGACAGTAAATTCCTACTGGGAATTTAAAAACCATTTTGTTAAATAATTTAACACTGTTGTAGTAATTTATGAAAGAGGGGGGGGGAAATATTATCAGAAAATGTAGTCCAACAGTTCAATACTCATATTTGCATACAATATTTGTAAATATGCGTTTCTGTAATATATATTTAAAACAATTACAATTTGTTATCTCGAGGGTGACAACAAATTCATCTACGTATTCAACTGTCTATTTGACTGGTGGCAGTTTTTGTTCTAGTTATCAGTTTGTGTTGCAAAAGCTTCACTTATCTTTGGCTCACTCATGAAACGTAAAATTGTAAAATTTTGTAAAAATCAATCATATTTTTATTGATTTGTCTTCTGATCAAATTGACATGCTAATAGTTTAAGAAAAGGATCTAGTTGTGAAATTAATTTTTCAATCAAAAACAAAGTTTATTATTTTTTTTTCCTTTGACTATCACATTTTATTGCTAGAGTCAGTTAATATCAATCCATAGTAGTAAGGAGATATGTATAACTCACTCATTTCAGTCTTCAATCTAGTTGAATTTTTCTAGTGTTTGTATATGGTATATCACGTAAATAATACGAAGATGTTTGTATAAAACTCTACAGAAGTTGAATCATTAGATCACAGTCAACCAAGGAACGTAAAAGTTGATGTTTTCTTTTGTAATAATATTTTAACCAATCAACTGTAATGAAAGATTCAGGTTTCAGTTTCAAACAAAAGTCAGGTTGAATGATAAGAAGCTAAGTAAATAATTAAATTATTTGGAAAGTCTATTATCTTTGTCATAGTTTCTGATATTTGTATAAATTTTCACATATTATTTTTTCTCATGTCAAGAATATTTACTGCAACAGCGACCGTACTAAACTCATGTACAATTTCTTTAGTACAGATTTGTACAAGTAAACAATATTATTCTTTGCTTAAAGCTTATCAATTTAGCTGTGAGTAAATTGGACACAAATTATTAGGCACAGTATAGTTTCAAGATATCTCAACTTCAACCAATGGCCCAAAATTACAGATAATAATATGATTGGAAACGAAGGTTTGACATGTTTTGGTCAATGAAGTTAACATGGATGATATTTGAAATGAAAGAGAAAACCATAACAGTAACAAAAAATCGAAGGATTATTTTAAAGAATACCAGTTCAGCTTGATGTTTACTTACTTTTGAAAATGTAGTTATTCAAAGTAAGAAAGTGAAATTCATTTCTACCAATGTCTATGGTAAAGATCGATGATCATAACCAGGACAAAATCAAATCGGCAAATGATCATGTCTGGTGAGTAATAAATAAGTTTGTGTATGATATTAAATATTTATACGCTTATAAATCTTAATCTGCTTATTAGTGTCTTTCTCTTGTTATTAAGTTTTTTTCTGTCACATTTCGAATTTCTATTTCAACTTCATTAAATTAAACATATAAAAGCTTTATTTCAAATAATACTACTTATTGCGGCTTTAACAAGTTTACAGATGACATGATGAAGGAGAAAAAAGTTCATTTTGTTCTGTAAGTACTTTTATTCGTGTTCTGTTTAAACCTACCGAATTTATTAAATTGTACAGTATTTATAAAGTGTATTATATGTATATCTTTCATCATGTATAGTAACTATCATCAAATTATTTTGCTTTATCATTATCTATCGAATTTTCTGTTTGCAAATTATAATTCTGAAGCTGAGTTATGATACATAAAAATCAACTAAGAAAGTTACATTGTTGAAAGTTGAAAAATGTAACTTTGCTGAACTAGTAAAAATTAATTTGAATTTTCATGTTAAAGTTTATAAATTAAGAAGTGAATGTGATCATTTTCATCAATATTGAATAATGTAATATGATACTCATATTTGAATAGTTAATGTTAAATTATTTATTCATTTATTCTTTTCCAGATTATATCAGTTTATTAAATCCCAATTTGCTTTTTATTCACTTACATTTGAATGAAACACAATGAAATATTAATTTCACAATTGATTGATCACTGGGTGGTGATCAATATCATGTGTGTCAAGTTTTTATTTAGTGCAGATCGAATGCTATAGATCATGTTGCAATGTGGCCACCAGTGTAGGTGATTCGACACTGCGTGCACTATATACTGAGATTAGATGATGTTTGAAGGTAGTCGACAGGAAACCCTGGACTCGGGTTTCGTGCTACTTGGCACTCGTCAGCAAAGTGTACGTGTAATCTTGAAGAAACTGGTGCTACCTGGAGGATTCGATCCCGTGTCACCCAGCTTCACAGTCAAAGACGTTACCACTGAGCTATCCGGGCCTCGACCGACCTCCTGTAGGACTGAGATGTAATCACATTATATTTCAACTACGTACACCAACAAAAACTTAAAATATGGGAATGTATGTTTGTTTTTTTACGCATAATATAGTTTCTACACACAAATAAACGTTGATCTTCATTAACAATTTTGAAAACACCAATTATTTATTGAAAATAACTTTTTATTTCGTTTCTTTTTTCAAAATATATTAAAATAATTATATATATGTTGACGTTGTATAATTCAATGTAACATTGAAAATAAAATATATTTTCATATCATCTATGGGCAATACTTTAAAACGCATTGAACACACTGAATACTAAATCAATTCAAACGCCATTTTGTTGTCATATTTGTACAAGCATATAAATTATTTAAAGTAAATTATTTGGTCCAATTTTTTTCTCATTACGTAATGACACTGAAATGCATTGAATTCATGATTATTGTATATATATATATATATATATATATATATATATATATATATATATATATATATATAAAGAAGAGTCAAATTCAATAGGAATGATCTGTATGAATCTTATAATAAATATTATCACTTATTGAATAAAGACAAATAATATGAGTGATAGATAAAGTAATTCATTAAATGACTATAATGTCTATGAATTAATTGAATATTGTCAATAACTACAACAATAATAATAATAACAGGTTAATTTGACAAATTTGAAAAAAATAAAATATTTTCATTTCATTGCATATTTTCTATTTATCAAGTCTATAATTCTAATCATCAATTAATCAATCAATCAACTAATCAATCAATCAATCAATTAATTAATCAATAATAAATGAATTTAGTTCAAAAGCAAAACAAAAAAGGAACAAACAAATAAATACATTCAAAAAAAGTAGAGTTTCTGATCAAAATAAAAAATAGTTAATTTTATGTAAATTTTTACATGTATTCATCAAAAATGTTTCAAAAATAGAAATAGATTTCGTGAAATGCACAATTACGTAATAAATTGAATAGTTTGTTTTTCTTTTTTTCTTTTTACATGATCATAAGATATAGTTTATTGTTTACAAATATTTGAATGCAGATTATTTGTGAAACAATCCGGCATTATGTATATTCTAGTTCTTTTTTTGTTAATATGCAGAATTTCATTTATTGTTTCATAATGAATTTATTATATTGATTATCATCGTAATTAGTTTATACAGTTACTATGCTCTCATTTACCATATGTTTATAATAATGATATAATAATAATAATCATAATCTTAATAATAATAAACAATATTTATTCAATTAAAATCATTCATGTTTCACATCTCATCGGTTTTGTTTTTACATAATATATTATAGGAATGATAATTAATTGTGAATGTATGATTTTGTTGTATGACAATTGTAAAATTGTAGTCATATAAAAAAACATCAATGAATATTCGATGAATTTATAAATGTTAATTGAATTAAAGAATATAACTTCGAATTGCAATAATTTACAGGTTGGTTCAATGATTATAATTTCATACCTAATGAGAAATGATTGGAACAAAAAAAAAGTACTGATGTAATAATCCAACAAAATTCATTTTATTATTATAACAAATATCATGATGCAAGTGTGAACAATTTTAACAGTTTTACATATCTAATATGCATGAATTTCAAGTAATGAAAAGGGGTAGATTCCTCAAGAAAAAACTTTATTTTACAGGTTTAATGTTTAGTCATTTAAATAGGTATACGTATATAAGCTAAGGTAATTATTACATATAGGTTAAAACAAGGAATTCTTCTTTTACATGATTGTAATATAATAGCGGAACTTGAACGATAAACCTAAATGATAAGATAGTCACCATTTTCAATTTTAAAGAGTAACCAAAGTCTAGTTCAAAGAATTGAATCAAATGGAGTCAATAAAAATTTGTTATACTCCTAACGATTTTTGAAGATAACGGCTTACGTTTTATGTTATAATTAATGTTTTCAGATACTTGATGAACTTTTCATTATTGAGTTCATTTTGTTTGAGAAATTTATGTCACTTTCCTTATCCTGACTGGATATAAGCAGATGGCAGTCATTTACCGATTTATCAAAACTCATTACTTTTATCAAACCAACAGTGTGAATCTACAATTATTATTATTATTATTATTATTATTATTATTACTATATTTATCTACTAACCAAGAAACGTAGAAACCTGTTAAGTTCATCAATCAATATTGAAAGTAAATCTGTCCCGTTTGACTTATACAGCAGCAAAATGTTATTTTAGTTAGATTATCTACCACAGAACAATCATTAGTTTAATAGGGAAAATATCTTCAGTGTGATTTATGTGCCAGGCAGTGAAGGATATACTACTTAAAAATGTTTGAGTAGTTAAAACGTATTACTGAAACTGATTTAAGGATGTCCTTTACGATCCTTAAACAATCAGAGATAACACCTTGTCGGTTATCTGAGTATATAAAAATACAACTAAAGTATTTTTGATTAGAAATAATATTACAAGCTTACGGGTTATTAGGTGGTGAGCTTATAGACTTACAAACTGCAAAATTATGGTCTAACTAATAAGGACATCAATAAAAATGTTATGTTTTTATGTCACAAACTGATTATTGACTTAACGCTATTGACACTGACTGTATCAATTATATGATTATGAACCAACCAGTCTTATACCACCATTAAAGACTTGGAAGCACTGAATGGCTGGATGTGAGGCAGTTACGCACCGAAGACAATGGAAAATGGTCGCGCAATATCGTGGATTGGTTGAAGTAGGGCATTAAGACGTTGAATCACGGTATATATATATATGCGGGGTAAATTAGATTCGTATTTCTCATCTGCTGATTATCTTTTGCAACAGATCTTTTTGATTTAACTAAACTTCGTCAAGTTATGATATTCTTTGCATTTTCGTTTTGAAATATCTATAAACAACAGTTTCACTATAGTTTATTTGACTTATTGTGTGTTTTAGTATTCTTTGAAGGTAGATTTACTTACGTCCTGACTTCCGCTTTTCAATTTTTGAAAACATGATAGCATTGCGATATGATCAGCTAGGTTTGAATTGAATTTTGTATAGATGATCTGCTAAATTGATTTTCGCCAATTGTCTATGATATGTAATTACATTTTAAGAAGCAATAGTATAGCTAATCAAGTTAGTTATACATGTTAGTTATAGTCTTAAATCTTATGGTATAATAAATTCATGTTCAGATGGTAAACCACTGACTAACTAACTTGAAGTTTCCATTTCAATAATTCAACCAGACTATTGATTGAATTAAACAAAGAAATAAAAATAAGTGTGTCCATTTATTGTTTTAATTCGCTTTTAGGGTATAATAAATGCTCATCATTTGCTTGTCTTCTCCCTTGGGTTGTGTGAATCACGGGTTCCGGCAACACAGTGTTTGTAACAATACATAGTAAACTTTCAACAAATTCAACAATTTTGTATTCGATGTAAACGACCACATACCTAGCAGAATAAACAAAGTGGACACCATATAAAGTACATCATTTATTTGAAAAACTTACCAATATCAATTTTTCTTCAATCTTCTTTCTAGTTGTGATGTTTCATTCTGTAGAAAGGAATAGTTGTCATCACACATACCTGCATTTCGATATTGAAGATTACGGTTGAGATTGGCATTCAAAGGAAGTTGGTTCTGAGAATTAACAGTTAACTGTGAAGTAGACGTAGGGTATCGTCTGTCTGTATTTCTTTGCGCTCGTATAGGAATAGGTGGAGCTCCATTTAAACTTTCCGAAATAGGTACAATATTCCTGTTGATTCCATGTCTTTGTTGTTGAGTGCCAGGTCTGTAAGATGACTCACCACCTAATTCATCACCTATTTCAAATTGATTTTCATAATATGCTGGTTCTGGACGTTCTACGGAAGCAATCCAACTTGCTGCCGTATCATAATTCATGATTGAATCGGTAGGTCTCATCGAAGTGTTTTGATTAACTGATCGATAAGGGTGTAGAAGTCTGTTGAGTTCACGTTCAAGTTTATGCCTATAAGACGTAATTTTTTTAAAACAGTTAGTTGAGAATCTGGTTCTTCTATTCTGTTTAAATAATTGTCAACCGTTCACAAATTCTTAATGCCTGGGAAAAATTACAGGTTGTGCGAAATGATGCATGTTTTCTCACAAATTTGTTAACTTAATAATAATATACTACTCATTGAACTTAACTTCAATAAAAAAGACAAAGCGGTTGAACTTAATAATTGTTTATAACCGACTACTTCAATCGATACACTATCATATTAGTACTTAGGTTCTCAACAGTTCAAACTCTCTCGTATCAAACCAACTTAGTTGCTTAACCTTGATGTACAATCGTATCGTTTAATTAAAATTCCAATAGAAACAAATTAATTGTAGTTAACAATTGTCTTATGATTAACTCTAATTTGTACATCTTTTTCTTCCATTTCATCTCTTCCTATCAAAATACATTCTGTTTAATGAAAATTTCCGTTTAATTAAGACATTAAACCATAAATTAAGTCAGAGGAAAAGGTAATACATACAGATATGTCAACAGTGAAACTGTGATTACGAACAACAGTCAATAAAACCTTATGTTCACAGAATAAGCTGTTAATCAATTATGGAGAATTTATAGTAATTTACTTTTTTAAAGGGGCAAAATCGATTACAATGTTTAGAAACGTAACGAAGACTTCATGATTAAATTATCAAGTTCAGGTGAAAAAATCACTAAAAAGCAGTTCGCTTGGTTTGTCCTCATAAATTACATATCTCTTGCTTTCTGTTGATATATATGTAGACCGATTATTTACACACAAAAAAAGATTCTGGCAACGCCACTCCTAGTGGGAGAGATAATGTAGTGGACGATCTTACTATTTCTACACTTTACTTGTTTTTCTTCATGTCAAGTTTCTTCTTTGCTACTAGTATATTAAGGCTGGTCATTCACACAATACTTGTTACGTAGTTTGCATCAACTTTGTTAACGTCATCTTATCTTTTCAACTATTCTTACAATTAATGGTACAGCTATCAACTTTTTACGAGTTATAATTCTAGTTCATTATGATTGTTTATGAAACATAATTTCTTGTTGACAAATCCGGTCTCTCCCTGTTACGTTTAAACTCTACTAATCAGGGCTCCTCACTAAAACTATGAATTAGCTTCCCAAATTAGTCAGGATATGATCTTTTAGTATGAGAGGTTGTGCAGAATGTTGAGTCTCGTAGAGTCACATCATATTTAGAATGAGATCAATATCAGCGATGGTGAAAAATGGTTTTTCTTTGAATATTTGTGAATTAACTAGTTTTAGATATGAACCAATGAATGTTAACACAGTATTCTAAATGTTTGAGATTACTGAGAGGCCTGTAGATACTGAGTTCAATCTATGATGGTTTGGCGTATTAGCACTGATGAGGCTTTCCTTACTAGGACGAGATGCCTTTTGATTGTTACCCATATTCTAATGATTGTCCGATCCAAACCAGTTCCTGGTGTAAAAATATGAATAGAATATATTGTACATTTATATATACTATGCTTTGCTTTAAAACTTTATTCAAATCAGTATCTTGATTCCTTTACTATAACATCATCATTTCCTTTTTAATTGTGATAATGTGATGGATAACAATGTGGACGGAGTAGATATCCATACAATTTCCTACTTGGCTTCAGAGTGATAAACTGACGTTCGAATAGATATAACTTATTTAGTTGACGGGTTCACAAACTCCTATCGGCTGACGGGCAGAGTTAAATAAAAGCAGTTAATTTAGGTTTGTTTAGCTGAGATAAATTTCATTAACTTAGAATAAAACATCACCACAAACCTCATTTGTACATCTGAATTAGGTATTTGAAGGATAAGAGCAAATGAATTCGCGTCAAAATCTGGATCTAACACCATCAAAGCTCCATGTACACCAGAATCAATCAAATTTTTGGCGTATTCATTCAAACCTATACTTTTAAGCCATACAATAACTCGATCATTACTCCAGACAAGTAAATCTGTAATTAAAATAAGTGCTTTTTTGAGACATTTTACTAACAATAATACTAAATATTAGCATATTACTGAATAGAGTTGTGTTGATTTTTGTTACCTCCAAGTTATAAGGATAGTTATGAGGTATAAAGCTAAAGCACCTCACCTACACTCAAGTATGTTTACCTTTAATTCTGCCAAGCCCAACAATTAACTCATTGAACAGACAGTGTCATTCGAAAAGTATTAATTATGTTTATCTTTGTCTTATCATTATTATGTCTGTATGCCTGATCATGAGCTACAGTCTGAACACATGTCCCTCTTACTAACTTAAATATTAGTTGCTTAAATTGACCGATGAATTATTCGCTTTCCCACATGTATGTGTTTGAATCTTGATAATTCACTCTACTCAAACTAAGCCTCTGTATTTGCCCGCTTGCTCGTATTAGCATTTCAGCTCGGATTCGCATTGTGTCCCTGCGGCTTAGTGTAGGATGATTAGACAAATATCTTTAATTATCACCAAGGCAGAGACAGGCTAATCAAGCTTTCCTTCTGTATACATATTTCAGGTCGGAAACGTATGATATCAACCGTTTCTACCAAAAGGAGCAAGATTGGTGCTTTTTGTCTGGCAATTATTTGGAATGCATTACTTAAATCTACTACTTGTCCACTATCCAAAAGATGTCTGACAATTGAACTTGTAAAGAATTTACTTCCTTGCAGCCGTACGTTCCTATGAATGTGTTCAAAAAACCTTGTATAATCCCTTTGTTTTTCATATGTACTTGGTACATCAGGTACTTGTAAACTTCCTCGCCTCTCAACTGGTTTCACTATACAACACTAATTGCTGATTATATCATTCAGAGATAGACTATTAAAATTCCGATGTCACATACAATCGCATTTATGAATTTACAGGTACCTAACGTAGTAAGTACATAGGAAGAACAAAAGGGCTTATACAAGGTTTTTTGAACACATTCATAGGAACGTACGGCTGCAAGGAAGTAAAGTCAAGTAAAGCAAATATAAAGCAGGAATAACAAGGTTTTCACGGTTTCTAATCAGCTTCACTAAACCTGAAATTAGTTATTAATATAATTACTCTAATAGTTGAATTTATGAATTGATTAAAGCTAGACCACCATGGAGAACCTGGAATCACTGAACGACCGTTTCGTCCTATATAGAACTCTCAAGCGGTGCCCATCCACGGTCCCGCACTCGGGACTCGAACTCAGGACCTTCGGTCGCGTTGGCGAACACTTAACCTTTAGACCGCTGAGCCGGCATCCAACGGTGTTAATATCTAACTTCAACCAATCCACGATATGACTTAGCCGTCCACCATTTCTTCAGTGAGTAACTGCCTCGCGACAGTTAATTAAGGGATCTGTTTGTATGAAATATTTGACTAAATTTCTAATTAAAATTAATGATTTATCCATATTATCAATGTACTACACATAACATAATGTGGTATGCTTATTTTTTGCCCTGATTGTTTCTTAAAGTAGTTCACACAACTGGTGGTTAAATAACAACACATCTATGTTACCTAGGGAATATTTACTCATTGTTCTAAAAAATACTCATATTCTTACGTCATCTAAGTATATAAAGTGAAGAGATAACATTTAATCTGGAATTTGTTCTTATCATCAACCTAGATTTGTGCAAACACAGATACAGTGAAAATGTGATGCACATATTTCGCAAATATTTAAATGTTAAACTTAATAAACAAAAACATTTTTTATTCATAGAAATGTATATAGGAACAAGAATAGATATAATGATTCTAGAAGTTTAAAATGAATACATTTGTATCACTAACCGTTTAAACTATTTTGACATGCTTCACGTCGGCGTTCAATCTCAGAACGGTCGTAATCCAGGCGCTTGAGACACATTATCCCATAGTATAAACTTAAACGATGAAATTGATCAACCATCTTTAGATGTACCCTCAAGTCCCGCTTAGTTAAATGACTTAACATACGTGCATCGACAAGACACTCCATAAATGATGACCTATATCTGGTTAACCCAAGACTAGGCAGCCAAACATTCCCAATCCATTCATGATTTAATTCACCCTGTTACATAAAATTAAGTTTTCGAAAATAAAAGAGCTAATTTTATCGTAGAAAAGAACTTATTAGTACTTATGCAGTTATGTTTTGCCAATGACAACTAGTACTATCTGATAAACGTTTGTAATTATCTGCTTTCTTATATTTTCAGATCATAAATATATTTCATAACTTATTTTGGACTACAATGTTTTCAGAGAGAAATTCGCCTAGACATTTTGTGTCATTTAGAAACATTGGTTGTCAGAGAATTATTGTTGTGCGTAAACATAAGCCATACTTTCATCCATATCACGAAAAACGTTTACGACGAATTATAAATTGATGTTTATATTGTAGTTTACGATGTTGGAATTCAAAGTGTAGTATAGTCGTTGGATTGTCTGTCAGCCTTCTAACAGTAATATAACAATACATCTCAGGAATATATGTAATAAATGTGCATAGGTACGTTTGTAAAAAAAACAAATAAAATCCAAAGTGTTACCCATAAAATCATTTTTTTTGAACCAACGATATGGAATTGTGAAATCACTATTACAGGTTCAGTGATCTTTTTTTAAAAATACTATAAACAAAGGGTTATGAAATCATAATAAATAACAAATCAGTCAGAAGTTTATATTTTTAAATTTTTAATTTCTGCTTTTTCATGATAATTCCAAGACGATAAATTTCATCAGTCTAATGTTTTCTAAAGTTTATAGCTGTCCAAATCATAGAATAGTTCAGCTTAAGATGGTTTTATTGAGGTATACATGAGATAAATACATTTGAAGTTTCTCATTCATTGTAACGTATAGTCACTATACAAGTATTTAAATTTTTTTTCAAAATGTTAATATGTTATTGTTACCTGTTCAATGAACGTTCGTACAAAGTATATAATTCATTAGTAATTATAGAACTATCCATAAATATATGTTATTCACCAGCAATTATAAAGTCAATGGTGATGAGTAAAACGAATTAAAAGAAAGATTTCATATTCTTTGAAAACTAACATTAAAAATTAACGAAGTAATTTCTGTTATATCCTAACAAAGAATAAATGAATGGTGACTGCTAGGAATTATTTATGGACTGTTATTGCATGTATTCCTATTTGATAACTATTAAGTAACCATATTATATGTATATTCATATTCCTTTTACTATAAACTTCCATTTGACCTACTGACTACTATCACACAATTTACTATTTTCAAGTTATTGCCAAATTTTTAGTTACAGTTTCACACTCACAAACAATATTGGCTTAATGTTGTATGATACGGTCTGATTTGTTTGTATATAAACTGCGTGTGTCTGAAATACATGATTGATACATTGGAAGCTGAGACTGTGTTCTGAACTCAAAAAGCAGCGTAAAGCAAGAAGAACTAATAAGGACTCAGAGTTGACTACAGGCTGCTCATAGTGGTTAACTCGTCAGTGGTTTAGCACAAGGCCAAGGTTATATAAGTTGACAATTTAGTCACGTGATATTTGACGAAACTTAGGAGAAAAGTCTTTTCCAACGTACATAGTAAAGATAATAGATTATTGTAAAATAAATCTAATCACAGTTCAATGTATACAAGTGATAAACTGTAACTTATTAATAATAAGACATTCGTTACTGAATCTTTCATTTTAAATAATGGGGTTAACATTAAAGCGTAAAATTTAACTATATATTTTAAGATTTTATTTTAAAGAGTTACATTAATAATTAATGTATAAATTATGTTTGAATCAAATAGTGTATACGTCTTTGTACCATTTACAGGAATGCAAACACATCGAAGTGAATTAATAAATTGATTCATAACTTAATTAATTCATAAAAAAGCCACTTACTTTCCAGATAACTTATTCAAACAGTTTACTAATTTAGAAATAATTATTCAGTTTGAAAATAAGACGCTTTCTTCCTTTTAAAATTGGACAGAGGGAATTGTAAAATGTTAGGTTGTTTACCCATAGAAAGTAGAAAAAGTAGCTTGTTATGTGACAGAAATTGAATGTGTGTTTCAATGAATGTGATAAAATTTGAGGCTAAGGGGTAAACAAACAAGCAATCTGTTTAGATCACACTGCCTTGGAATTGTGATATATATATATGTATACGCTGGTATGTCAATTGATCCAGGAAACTTGATTTTTCATTATCGACTACGCTCTAATAAATGTTGTTTAAGTAACATATGTCATTTTAATACATTAATAGCTCAATCACGTTCCTTTATCCGAAATCTTACGAGTGTATTCGAAAAAATTCAGAATGACCAATAGTTGACTTATATTTTACTTATTTAGTAACAAAAACCTATATCGACAAAAGATTACTATTCTTCAGATACTTAATATGTGAAGAATGCATTAGAGATGATAATTTGTTCACTTTCATTTACTATTATATGAAACTAAACAAATTTTCGAATGAATTTTTTAATTATCTAGTTGAAATATTTTAACGACAGTTGATTTCAGCAGTTGAGTGGATACACTGTGACAACTCGCCAGTATCATCATAAAGGGTTATTATGAAAACTGTATATTGGTTTCTTTGATTTAGTATTTAACCATTGTATGTTTAAACAATTTCAATATAGACTAATTGTATTTAGTATTTCTTTTTTAAAGTAAATCGATCTTTAAATCATGAGCTATTAACAAACTGAAGTTAAAACTATCTAGAATCATAAATGATGTTAAATTTTATCTTTGTTCATATCACGTGAAGAAATGTTATATATTCTAATCGTTATTAAATATACAAAACTATCGACAATTGGGACAAGAAATGTCAAGACGTGTGAAAAATAAATTTCACTTCTGAAAAAAAAATATATTATCCAGTGAAGAAAATGTTTACATCCCAATTTATCAAAGAACTGTATCATTGAAAATTTTTGAATCACTAAAGATTATGAATCAATAGTAATAATCCTTTCAAACAGTCAAGAAATTAGTGCGTGGATTTATACTAATAAGAATAATAGTAGTGTATGTTGGGAACGTTATGAGACATAGATGTTGTATTAGACATTCAGGAAAGAAAGAAATAAATAAATCAGAAAACCTAGCTGAACATGTTAGAAATGCACTCTTATCATATTATGTATGATTGAATGGTAAATCTGTATCACTTAACCACCTACTTTTCATTTGTATTTGTGTACTCAAAATGACAATTCTCTATCTAATTTCAATTGGTTGTAAACAATCAACCAATAAAATTTAAAATAACGCGATCTTTATACTATTTCTTATTGAAAAGACAATAAGCATTGAGGAAGAAATAAATTTGTTCTATCAAGGCTAAAACTAACTATTAGACTGCTTGAAATAGATGTGAAGAATCTTGACTCGTTCTTTGAAACAGAAAAACAACTAATTATTCGTTTATTTGTTCGAGATGCGGATTAGAACTTTGAGACAATCCGGTAATTTGTGTTTTTCTCTAAATAAAAAATACCATAAGGAAATACTTTCCTATTAATCTGGATGACGTTAAGAGTTTCAGTTTCATAAATGTGGTTTGATAATTGTAAACGTTGAACCTGATCTAATCGAAATCAAAATTTCTACAGATAACTGACGATTAACTCATACCAAATAACCATCACGTTATTTTAACTGAAGGATGTGAAATGTGATCAGAGCTTTTTCCAAAGTTAGTAATATTTATCCGAAATTACATCGATAAGGTGAGGGTTTACGTAAGGACTAGGGCATTACGGACTTGTTGTTCTATAATAAATATGAATGGTAAGTCTAAATACTTCTGAACCAATGCAATTGGCTGACATTAAAGCGATAGCAGCTATCTGTTTTTTTATCTCTTACGACAAATTTTGAGGGTATGACTATAAAAATTAATAAAACGGTGGTTCGTCCAATCGTCATCAAGGATATGTGCTCATTATGTCTGGACGCACACTTTCTCCTCAAACGGATGAAAATATAGCATGCTGATAAACAAGTTAACTCTGATTGTAATCAAATTCGAACTTGAGTCTGAATGAGAGAGTATGATTACTAGAATTTTCTCTTCACTAAAAAAGTAATCACTCGCAAATTATTGGCTTTTATGTTCATCATAAAACCATAGTAGCCTGTTATACCATTTTTAAAGTTCTTCAAATCATTGGGGGATAGGTTTGAGGAGTTCTAAGGGTAGAGGTATAAAAAATTGTTTATTGGTGAGGAGTTGAATGTGAATAAAGGATGTAAAACACAACTGTTTTAATTTTAATTATACTATTGTAAACTATGTATTAAAATATGACTACGAAAGGTCTATAAAGAACTTTAAATATTACCTGTTGTATAATAAAACGTCATAAGTGGACGACAACTGGTCTCTAACCAAAAGTAACTTACATTTCTGTCTGAAGTTTACAGATACAGTAATCAGGTATCACAAACAAACAATTATCATTACTTATTTTATAACTGGAAGTTTTGATTTCCTAACGTTTTTCATCTGTATCTAACTCGTTTTATCAATTATCACTGGAGTGATGATATTCAGTTTTCGAAGGACTACGCATAATACCAGGTCCCTCAAAAATTGTATCACTCCTAGCAAAGTACATAAAGCAGTATTCAGTAAACAACTTTAATTGTTTTGATGTACATGCAAATCGATACAGGCTCGTATCACGTGTATTGTATCACATATGACTTCATCTTCCTATTATTAATAATGCTCTTCACAGGATTGTTGTGGCTTTGTATTTTTTCATAAGATAAATAGATACCACATCGTAATATGAACAGGTCAACCCTCTATATTGATCAATCATCTTCCATTGTCTTTGGTGGGTAGTTGTGTAATACGTGATACCGTTTACCTCCACTGATCACGGCTTCGCGTTAGAATCTCGGGAGGTACGTCTCGAAATTAGTTACTAACGAACTCATGATGTTTATCAGCATGGAGTTTTTATGGGATCACTGAATGTTATTAACTGAACCTATGTATGTACACCATTGGATGGTTGATTTGTGGTTTAAAGGTTAACGGCTTTCCACAGAAATTGAAAGTTCTGTGTTCAATCTCTCATTGAGCCACGTATATTCACTACTGAGAAGTCTCATATTGGTGCAAAAAAACTGTCTTATTATCTATGCTTTTCATTGATTGTTTAACCTAAGTTAGTCTTTGATATTAATAATGTTCAGTAATCCCCACAAACCTTTATACTGGAATTTTAATTCGACCGTAAGCTAATGCAAGATTATCAACCGTTTATTTCAAAGACATCACATGAATATTTCACAATTTATTAACTTCATTTTATGGATGTACAGATAATTCATATCTTGTTTTAAATTTATATTGATGTTGGTTGTTGTGTCACAATTAAATAAAATAATTAAATTTACATTATGAACAACTAATTAATGTGAAATGAAAGCAAATAAGATATTTAGGAACTATTTCATAGCATTTTTTCATCTCATTTTAAGAGATTAATTTCAATGTTACATGTAGAATATCAACTAAAGAACACTAAATTTAAATAGTAACGGCAGCTTTTCTTAGTAAGTAGATGCACTAAAGAAATGTTTGAGAATTTCTAATTTTTACTAGAATTTCGATAATAATAATAATAATTCAAATAATATCGATTCATTATTATAATTACTTTTCAATAATTAAATAACTATCAATTAGTATAAAATATTTACCTTTATAAGTGGGGAAGCTAAGTGTAATTGTTTCATAGAGGTAGATGTTTCACCATTTTTAATTGGATTCGTCGTTGTACCTGTTAATGATGCAGTAAATGCAAGCATTTCATGTACAGCTAAACGAAGCTTTAGACGATGTAAAGGATTACGTATACCTAACTCTCTTTGAATATCTTGTTCAGATAAAGAGGCAAGCATTGCACCAGATTTAATATTTGCTTCACAAGCTGCAACATACCATGCTGGCATTCCAACCCATAGCTATATTAATAAGTAATAAATAGTTTAATTTTGTTATACTTATCTAAAAAATCTATGCAAAAAATTTAATAGAAATCAATGATCCATAAAAAAAATAAATAAAAGAAATCGTTTATTTCCTTTCTACTCGTTCTATAATTTATTAATCTGGATCTTGAAACTTTTAATTATAGGGTTTAGATAGCATGAATACTGAAGAAGGACTCATTTGTTTGTATGTTACTATGAAATAATAGATGACTAAATATTTTTCTTCTTCAAATCAGCATTAATTAATTAATAATAATAAGAAGAAGAAGAATATTTAAAAGGTTAAAATGAATGACAGACTAATGTTCCTTATGTTCAATACCATTCGAATATTTTCATCACATCACTAAATAAAGTTCAATCATGTTTATATTGTTCTATTAAGTTTTACATGAGTTCATTCATAAACAGTGAACAGTGAACTTTGTATTTTTTTTATCTGACTGAACGAATCGAATATGATAATTCAGTTTTTATGAATAACTGTCACTCAGTCACACATTACACATTGATTCAAACAATCTATCAATTTATTATAAAAATCTATAGTCTAACAGATCATTTTAATTCATCTTTCTTAAATGGAATATTATGTGAGTTTCTCAACCTGAATATTTTCTTTATGAATTAAAGTATTCATAATTTTCTTTTCTTTTAAAACAAACTAGAATAGTCGATTACTTCATCAATTTACCTACATCTTTTAAAAAAGATAAAAGAATAACTTTTTAATTCATGCTTCAACTTAATGTCTTGATAAATAAATTAAAATTAAAACAATTAAGTTTTGAAATTTATTTCTTCATTAAGAAAGTTATTTCATTCACAATAATAATAATAATAATAACATAAATCAATAATTAGCAAAGCCTTCTATTCAATATTAATTAGTGTAACTAAGTTAAAAGAGATGTAAGCAACTGATAAAGAATTCTATTTACATTGTAATCTAGATATTACCTATATATAATTGAATATTGCAAAATCAAATTAATCAATTACTTTTTCACTGAAGAAGTGACTTACACTAAGCCACGAAACGTCAGAAAAATCCAATTTTCTACTCATTGGGATAATACAAATATATTATTTTTATTTATAATTACTTTTTTGTTGTCACTATTCATCTTGTTATTTACTTATTTATTATTTGGATATTTTTACGTTGTCAATAAATAATATGAGGATAATTAAAATAACCCATAGTGTCACTGAATAAAAGAAAAAGAGAATTCAGTGAAAAAGTGACGTGAACAGGGAAACAAGAAGCTCTGAAAAACTACGAAAAGCTATTTTTCGGGACATTAATTCATTTTATGCAAAGCCTGTAAAACACTAACATTTATTTTTGTCCCTAATCTATTCTACAGAACATAAGCATTCGTTTGATATATGATTCATTGCCATAACCCTTCTGATCCGAAGCTATTGTAATTTAAACATAATGTTTTGCACTCTATTTTCTACGCTAATTCCTGGCTTTGGAGATAATTGTGTTTTTCCTAATTATTGTACGTTGTGGTCGGGTTAGTCACCTATTTATTCATGTACATTTTTTTAACACTAATCCGAAGTAAAAATCAGGTTATCGGGAATAGATTGAGTAGTGCTCCAGTTGTCTTGTCTTCTCTCATTCGCGTGCTTGTCAGCCAATCATTGATAGAATAGTTTCCTCCTCTCTATCCCACTTCGAACTCACGTGTACTGGCCTCAATGCTAGGTCGGTCAGCCTATCGCGCCAAGGTCTTAATCTGGATTAGATAAGTATCATCAGCACCAAAAGTGGGTAGACAGTCTAAGGACATAACAAGAAGAAGATTTTCCTTCCTACGAAATCATTTACTTGACCTGTACATTCGTATATATTGTTATATGGAAAATATATGTTTATAGGAGGATAGAAAAAATTACATCACAAAAACGGATTCAAGACTAAATAACAAATGAATTTACGTACTAACCAATTGGTAAAGAAGAAAATAATTTATGGGTCAGATTTATTTAGTCTCGAATCCATTTTTGTGATGCAATCTTTTTTATCCTCCTATAAACATATATTTTCCAGATAACTATATGTACGAATGTCCAGCTTAAGGAAATGATTTCGTCGAAATGAAAATTTTCTTCTTCGTTGAATTCTCTTTTTCTTATTCAATATGAGGATAACTGAATAATGTTCATATGGTTTATTTCAATACTAAAAGAAACCTAAACAGTTGTAGAAGATATTATTTGTGTAAATTCAAGAAAATATTTTTACGATTTCATCATTAATATTAGAAATTTAATTATTTAAATAATTCATCAAAGGTTAGATAAATTCAATGAAGAAATACAACCAAGTCACAGTTAGATGATTGAACGGAATATTATATGTAAGATAATATTTGTCATTGGAAAGTATCAAATAACTTAAACATTTTAATCAATCGCATTAATTTTTTACTCATTTTGTGCGTCTGTCGTACTGACGCTTAGCCTGATTCTATTAACATTGACTTTTCTGATAGTAATGTAGATTTAAAGGCGAGATGGATTTTTAAAAGATGAGGAGATTCAGTAAAAAATGACTATCAATAAATTAAAAATATTAAAGCATATATATACTGTAAGTATTTACGATCATAAGAATTAAGCGGATTCAAATGTGTATCCGTATGTCATACACTGAAATCACAGTTGATAATTATGTCTTACATGATATTATACAGGTATTGCAATTTCGATTATAGTGGATAGTGAAATAAATAGTTTGTATTTAGAAATAAGTTTCTTATCCCAACTAAATGTTTATTAATTTCGGAAATATTTTCTCAATAATTTTAAATCTCTACTGAAATAACGTTAAACAGAGAAACATATTTTGGTAATATCATAATTAAGTATTTAATCATATGATTATGTAAACAGAACGGTATTGAACACTTTCCAACTTTTAATAACTATCTAAAAGACGTCAGTTTATGCTAAAAATCATCTTCGGAACTTTCAGCAAAACACCCTAATAAATTAATATGTTTGTCACACATATTATGTTTCATATTAGAATATTTACTTACTTTTAACCATGCAACTAATATGGGACTACTCCATGAAGTAAATGGTAAATTACTGCGTATAGTATCTTCAAGTAACAATTTTCTATTCAGAACATTTGAAATAATAAAAAAAAATGTCAAGAAAGTACAGTTTAATCAAAACACATAAAATAAAACAGAAGTATTAACTCAGCAAATGGAATCTATATTCAGTGAATCGATTTTCAAAGTAATAAAAACGTACAAATATCTTTTCAGCTAACTCAAAAAAGCAGTTTATATGACTGTTTAATTGAATAGTCCAATATTAGAATTGAAATCATATGGGAAACGATAAAAAGTCAATTGACAAATGATAGTATTCACCAAAAAACCTGAAGATACTAAGTTCGGGTGTTTGCGGTTTTATTTGTACAAAATGATGTGCTTAGTGACCAGGAAATAGAATCAACTATATTTAGGTAAATCATTATCAGAAAGTAAACTATAAAACGCTGATAATATTAATTCAAAAGGGTAAGTCAATTAATAATGAGTATAATTAACTTAATAACATAAGTGAAAAGCATGTAAAATAAAGGATAGTTCAATATTTCAAGTAAAAAACGTTTAATTGAAAAAAAGGAGACTATTTTTGTAAACACCATGCAAATGGCAAGTATGATTAATTCAAGGTCCTAACAACTACAGGTCAACAACATTTTGAAAGTGTTTTTTCCAACGGTTATCGGAAATAACGTTTTTGAGTTCATTTATTTCATATGTATATAACTAACTGTAGAACGTAAAGAAAAATTATTTCATAGTTACATTCTTAACTCACATAATCTTGTTCTATTAGAACGGCAGTTTTCAAACAAGTTAGTAGGTATACTCAAACGTTTCGATGAAATAAAATGTCAAGTTCTTGATGACGAATTTAAAAAAAATGATCATACAATACAGTTTGTGGCATAGATCAGTTTCATTAACATTATGTTTCTACATAAGGCTTATATCATGCAGCTTTAATGCACAGTGTTATTGTGAATGCTTTCAAAATGTCTTTATACTATGTGCTTAAATTCTTTGCTTCTTTATGTTTTCATCGTATATATTTATCCGTAGTTTTATGCATATAGCACGTATGTATGTACTGTGTATCATCAACTTCCAAAATGTAGCAGAGCAGTAAATTTTCATTTTAAAAACTTCATATTACTGTCAAGGACTAACCTTCAAATGTTTTCAAATAGAATTTACTTGAAAGTCATAAGCTATAACTTTCTGAAAATCATTTCCTCAGTATGTATTTAAAACATGATACACAAATTATATGGAAACGTTTTCCTAACTACTTGTCAATATTGTTCTATTTGTTGAATATAATCCAATTATTTTTAATCCAACAAAGTACACTCAAAACAAAACTTCATTAGTTCAAAATAAAATGTCTTAACATCATGTTTTACTGGTTTTCAAATGGAAATTCTTTAATAAAAATGATTAAAAATCATTGTAACACAATTAGGAAACCAGAAAACTGAACAAAAGGTTGTTTACACTCATTAACACATAAACCTATATATATATATATATATATATATATATATATATATATATATATAAGTTTACTTACTGAGATTTCTGTCTATCCTCAAGAGTTTGTTTCGGTCCAAGAGCAGCTTAATGATAGAATAAAATGTTAAAAAAACGGACATACTGTTTTAATGGATAACATTTGATAAACATGTTGGCTATAAAAATATTTTTACTCTCAAAGAATATTTAAAATATTAATATACTTCAATTTGTACAATAATTCGTTTTCTTATTAAGTAGCCTAGATATTTAATATAAGTGTGACTTGTAATATATTACTCTGATTATACTATATATTACTTATTAAGGAAACTGTTTTTTCAGGGTTATCGTTTAGTTATTTTTATTGATTCTGGATCACAATTAAATATACACTATGAGTAACTGATAGTTGAAGTGTGAACAACTAAGATTTATACAACATTTTTAAAGAATCCAACGTTTGTAATTGAACTTTTCACACATGATTCAAATATAATTATTGATTGACAGACTTCATAATTAAAATGTAGGTGACTACTAAATTGAAAACTTTATTGGTTTTACATTAACTGATTCCTAACTACGTCAATAATGTCTATATTCGGTCCATGACGAGAAATGTCACTAAACTTGATTATTCTTTGAACTTTATTAACATTTAATATGGGTTTTAAAATAAAGCAAATTATTCTAAGAAACACTTTAAGTTACAAAAGTTTAAGTAAACACTAAATGGTTTACTCAATCACAGTAAACGATGTATTGTCGACGAACTATCTTTTATATAAACAAACCTCTCAAATCCAGTAACTATTTGGTTTGTAAATGTACCATAAAGTAAACCAAAAGTTATTTCATAATGTATTGTTGTGTACCTCCACGTTGTGAATAGTTGAACAGTCTCTGTTGACAGATAAATTTATGATACCTGCAGTCACAAGTTAATTATATTTCAAATGATGACTAGTAACTGAATGAATAAATTCATATTTTATTGTTGCTGGCGTTTAAAGCCATGAGTGCATAGTTCAAATCTCAGTGTAAACATCCAAACAACTAGCATGAAGTAGTCTGAAGAGCATATTCTTGATTCCACTCCCATCCTCTATCCAAAAGACTTTAACTAAGCAAGCAGTGGAAATCAGGAAGTATGACAATTTGAACGTGATTTGTAGAAATTTACGCCATTTAGTGATACATCAAAATTATAGCAGTTACACAAAACAGTTACCTTGAGAGTTCATCGTATGTGATAAAACTGACTGCTGAATTGCACTTTGTTCTTGGTTAGTACCTACATCTGCAGAATAAATACCAGGTTTCGCTTTGCCAAAATAACTATGGTGTGATGGAGGTCTCGGACTGTATCTCGATGTTCCTTCTTGTACATGATATTGAGAAAAATTGTTTGGATAAACTGAACGATTGAAATGTGCCATATTCGAAAATCCTGAATCTTGTGAAGAGTATACAACATTAGTTAGTCTACTTCTTTCGTCTGATCTATGAACTGAGGTTGATTGAGGAATATTATACACATGATAATGACGGGATGGATGAGTTAATGGATTAGAATAAAATCTCAATGAAGGTTGTTGATTGTTTGAAACTACTGATTTAACTGTACTTTCCACTTGATTCTGTGAGTTTGTTACATTTACAGGATTTGGTCTCTTGAACATACGACCCAATGTCCCGAAAATAGATCGTTTACGTTCATTTTCCCTTTGACTACTATCTGAATACTCTGTATTTCCTAAATCATCTCGTGTGCCAGTTATTGTTGTGGTTGTGACTGTGCTATCGTATGTAGTCATAGAAAGATCATTTTGTGCACGTTTCCTTTTAAGATGAGTAAATAAATTAAGAAAAAGAATAGTAATATTAAGTAACTCATTGTAATTTTAACTCTTCAAAATACATTAAAAATCTAGAATCATTTTATTTTCTTCGATCAATAAAAGTAATGACAATTATTTATTTACTTCTTTAAAATAAACTTACCGCATATTATAGTCCACATCGTGAAAATTTGATAAAGTTGGTAGTTGAGCAGTTCCAGTTGAAAAAATTACATTATGATCACTAGTATACCTGGGATTAGGGATAAACACTCCTTGATTATATAATTTTGATTGTCCCGGTTGTCGGATAGCCATAGGATTCATTACTGGTGCACGCAGTCGTGTATCATATCCTAAATAGGATGGATGCGGCGTTAGTGTGTAAGTTGTTGGAAAGTTTTGCGTATAGCTAATTGGTGGGTTTTGATAAATATCCATATTCATTTGAGTAGTAACTGTTGTAGTTCTGCAGTTGAAATTGCCCAAAGAAGCAAGAGCAGAGGGCTCTGATGAATGCTTTTAATGATAAGAAGAAAAGTAGGCACACATATGAGTTATTAATGGTTAATTCAAATTAAGAAGTAGTTTTACATGCTAAACACCAAGATGGTATAAATTAGGCTGTCTTGTTTGCTCGTAAATCACAGAGAAACCGATTTCCAAACTAAGTGTGGTCTTCTTAAGTCTGCCTGGATACCGCTTTTAAGTCACAAAAATTATAAGCAGGGATGGATAGTGACTAGCAGGGGAATCCAGGACGCACATTTCGTTCTATTTGGGGCTCTTCAGCTGTGTGTAACTTCATCCGAGTTGATGTTCACTCCGGTATTCCAACTCAGAACCGTTTACTTTAAACGCCATCACGTTATCCGCCTAGCTACTCAGTCCTATTGCATAAGCTAGTGGCTATCAGGGCCCAGCTGACGAGTCCAAATGGGACAAAACGCGCGTCCTGGGTTCCACTGCTAGCCACTGTCCATCTTTGCTTATAAATTTCTAGTGAGCTATTTAACTCAGTTTCTCACCATATAAAGTATGCTGTCCGATAGTCACAGTCATCTACTAAAGCTCAAAATCTGAATTTCATGTACTTTGTTCGTTTAATGGAATGAGGAAGTCGTGGTCCCAAGCTAGTTAACACCCATCAGTAAGGTGAACCTGGAATCCTAAGGAAAATATATGCGAAGAATCGAACGTGTTTTGAAACACAGAACCGCTTTTAGCATACGTAACGTAACCTGCATTATCATTTTAACCAAACCACGAATCAAACAGTTGACACTTGTTAATAAATACAAATATGTATCAAAGTATTTAGCTTGATAGTTGTCTAAAAATTATTCTATATTCATCCATTATTAAGAAGCAGCCTAGAAACTACTACATTCATCATGACTGAGTACAAACAACAAAAAAGTAACTTCATACTGAACATTAAGCTGCTGTAACATGGCCTACAACATTTTGATGTTATGTTTTTGTTCAATGAACGTTTATTTTGTCTTTTCTTAAACTCATCTGAGTTTCGAGATATCTGCCTGTTTATCTGATCTTCTTTGGTACATTATTTTGTAAAAATGTACGTGTAAAAAATTTTACACTATTTCATAACAAATCTAACTAAATTCAGCGATATTTAAGTATTTATTGTACCGTTATGATTTACCTAGATGGTTTCTCTAAAATGATTAATGATGTTGCAGCTATGAATATTTATGTTAACAATCGTTTTAAATGACTTTCTATTCAAACTGTATAACTGTAAATTTATAAGTATGTATAAAAGATTTGATTGAATCAGTTTTATGACTATATGAATCGATAACATCCGACTTGTGAAATGTTACAAAGTAAATAGTGGATTAACTATTGACCCTGTTTTTGATGAGTACAAGATGAGTGGTCAGTAAAATTATGAGGTCAAATAAATAAAAGATAAGTGTATGTATGCATGATGTTGCTGTTGAAAGCACGAGAGTTATAAGTGAACATAATACGGGCTTGGAATATATAATTTATATAAATATATGATCGCAAAATATCAGTATAGTAAACAGAGAATATAGAAAAGGGGATGCTAATCTAATGCTTAAGTATATAGTTTGAATAAAAGTAAACAGAGTGGTTTAATATGGATTCGTAAATACTGAAACGGAGGTTTGTTGAATTTATTTATGATTCTTGTAATGATTGGTTGATGTAATCGTGGTATCACCCGCAAATCATTAGGAACCTCGTATATAAATGAAAATAGTTCAGATTTTGTTGTCCATCACACGAGGAAAAATGATATTTACATATAGCTAAATTAAAGTTTCTCCGTTTAAATTCTGAATAAATGTCACATATATAGTATGTATGTTGTGGTATCTCATCAATGAGTTTTCAGCAAAGAGAGTTTCATGTTTGATCTACATAAGCTTTTTAATTGATCACTTTGACAGTTCGTATGGTGGAGTAGTAACATGTACATTTGTGCTGATCATTTTGTAAGCGATGACAAAATATTTATTAAATTAGGCAAGAACACTAATAACGCTGTTAATAATAAATGAACATTTTGCCTAAATTTATGTTCAAAATCCCTCACTGGCATGATTAAGAGACTATGACAATACTAGTAAAAAAAGGAACGTGAAACTTCTCTGATGGATTTGGTTTTTTCAATTATACAGTGAAATAATTCTTAGATTCGTATATGAGTTTAAATATACAGTATCTGTAAGATTGCTAAAAATTGGAAGCTTATGACTGTACACAATATACATTAAACGATTTTTATCCAACATTTCATAACAATAATCAAGAGGGTAGAAATATCTCAGTAGTGAAAGTATGAAACATAAACGAAGCATTCATGCATTTTAATTCAATTATTTGATCTTTGGGTATTCATATATACGACTTGATATTTTCCCACTTCAGAATATTAGTACTTCATTGTATTCGACCAATATTCCTGATATTCCTAAAACTGGATATTTTTGATAACTTACAATGAATAAGACGTTGCACTCAAGTTCATATATGTAATCTATGATATTAGGAAATGCTTTCGAAGATAAAGTTAGATCACAAGATATATCTACAAAACATCTTAAAATATAAGTGTCCAAATATCTATTAGTGTCTCCTTGCTAACAATACAACTAGTCGAATAGTAGTATATTTGAGGAAAAGATATTAAACAGGGATATTTGGTTTTCCTAGTGGGACATCATGACCACACTGGTGTGATTCAATAATGATCAAACTTTGTTGTGAATGCAGTGCCTCATTTCATGAAGCGATCGTTAGGGCGATTTGAATGCAGCTGATAGTTGTTTGCAATGAAAACTATAGTCACAATTGTACACATCTTTTCAACCATCAATTCGAATAAACCACCGTCATCCCATATGTTTCTTTTTTCCATATATCTTTGCAATAATGCTAACACTGTAAGTAAAATGCTTTTAAACACTGTATTTAAATAAGATTACGAATACGCTTTGTTGGTCAGAAGCACATAAATTTCCTCAAACAATTTAAAATTATATAATATGAAGTGTTTTATTACCACACTGTCGTAATTGATTTTTTTAAAAACTCTCATAATATCCGTAGACATTTATGTAAAACTAAGTTTACAAATAACAACATAACTCAGAAGTGTGGTTATATTTCAACTAAATACGTTCGTTAGACAAAGGGAAGTGTTAAAGGTAACTGTTAAACGTTTCAATATTTTTGTTTTCGTTACCTAATATCGAAACAATTCTTGTGCACGACTATTTCCTGTCAAATCTAAACACAAATTTATGTTATAATTGGAAACTATCTTCATCATTAATACGAATATTGTAAAACAACTAATGCTTATTTCCCAGGAATATAAGATTCACTCATAATAAAGCAATTTATAGTTCATGGGTTCAAGTCGTCGTATAAAAGATAAATATTATGTAAACACTTTTTAAAATCGTAATCCTATAACTGCTATGTTAGCTTAGATTGTAGTCTATCCATTGCATACAATTATAAGATTTATTCATTTGTACTGGTTGTTATCCAACTGACAAGTCACAAATAGGACGAAATGTACGTCCTAGATTCCACTTCTAGCCACCATCCATTTCTGCATATAATTACAAGATTGGTTAAACATAATCTATGACAAATTATTTTCTTCTGTTTAGTTTATATTATGAACTTTCTTAACATAAACAGTTATAATTTATAACAAATAATCAGAACTTATTTTATTGATTGACAAATAATAAAAATTCCTACATAGCGTCTAATTATTTCTCTTATTTAATTTTGAATGTCTGCTGATGAAAACGCTTCAAATAGAATATTTAAGCATCGGTAGTATCACATGGATCACAAGTTATAGTTTGCATAAATATACTAGTGATCAATGAAATCACTGTGTCTACAAAAAATCATTAGGTTGGTTTCCAGGATTATTCAGTAGACCAGTCAGTGTAAACTAGAACACGAATTTATGAATTCATTTTAAACGTGAATGATTGATTAACTTTGCCTTTAAATAAATATGCTACAATATGCTATTCATTTTACATGGATACTCAATTGATCCCATTTTTATAAGAACTGTTCTTGAATTTACAAAATATACACAAAAATGTAAAATCACAAGAATCATGCAGATAATTTCACTTTTCTCTTGACATTCCATCAGATGTTTTATGCAATTCATGCAATTAATTACAATCGTTTTATTCAGCTCATTCAATTAACTGGTTACAAATGACAAACAAAACAAAATCTAAACCATGCTATAACATAACTACTTCAAGAATTGGTTTGAATAATGAGCGGTAGATGGGAAAAAATAACAAATTTACAATAATACTCAACATTCATACCAGTAAATCATGTAATGTAAGCTAGGGAAAAAAGAAAAGAAAACTAACAAGTAAAATAGTGGAAATAAAGTTGGTATTATTTTATTAATTAGGTGAATAACTCAGTCTTTATTTCATTCTTTGGTAGAGTTACACTGTAAATTATAATTGGTTAAAAATTTCATTGAAATCATGAACCGATCATTGTTAAACCATCATTGAAAACTTGGATGCACTGGATGACCGTTTTATCCTAGTAACTAATAGGCAATTATGAAGTCTATTAAATAAAAGGAAACATAACACCACGTTTTATAATCGTATTACCTGCTTACTTACTCAGCAAGCGATAGGTGTCTTAGAACACGTCCCATAGTTACTTACGCTGATTAAATGCTATTGAACAAAACTTAAAGTAAGTAATGCATTTTACCATTGAAATTTGGATTGTTTACTTATACTTTTGTACATTAAACAATACTTAGCAACTCATCGTTGATTGCCAATTAAATTCCATACCTTGATCATCATAAAGTTTTAAAGTGTGTGAAATAAGGAACCAAGTATATGATCCTGTATTACTGATTATGTTGAAAAACATAAATTTACAATTAAAACAAACCAATCAACTTTTGAAATCATTTTTTTACTTTGTAGGTATTATTCTTCCCGGATCGATGTTACTTCAGACACTACTGCAAACCGGGGAGCACTAGAGAGAAGTGCTCGCTCACTAACTTATCAAGTGTCGAATTCAGGACTTTCGCGTCTCTCAGAAATTCTTGGCCCACTGGGGTGACACATTTTTTACTTCAGTCATTTCTTCATATTAACGCAACGATCATCGGTTAAGCTGGGGATAACTATTTTACTCCAGACATATCTGAATCGAAGTCAGTGTTTGGTGATTATCATCTTAAAACTAAAGTCATCTCTCCATAACCTGTACATCAGCTATCTTTATTGCTTTGACAATAGGGTAATCCAATTTTGGCAAAATACTTTCGCTCAGAAGTTTATACGCACCAAGTGTATCATATACGGCTCAACTCGTTTTCAAAATGCATAGATATTGTGTTTTTCTTATAACAGATGCTATTTATCTAATTAAGAATAGTTTCTGTATAGTATTACATTAAACGTCATTTATACTCTTATCAATAAATGAATTGGACTAAAACGAACAGTGGTTAAATTGACTTATTAACAGTAATAATTTCCACCATCTAACTATGGTTAGAGGAAAAGGCTTATATGGAAAGACATATATGAATGACCAATTAGTGTACAGTATTTAGATAACGTAATATTATTTATTTAGCTTGAATAATAAGTTTAAGGCAACCACTAAAATTCTCAGATAAGTTGTTTAAAGAACTTGAGATAAACTCCTTTTCTTATACAAGGTATGAGAGCTGGACTTATCTATATTGTCTTGAGACTTGATGTTTTCTGTGTAACTAAAATCTATATAACACATTTTTAATGCCTTAGAGTTCGAAAATAGAAATAAATGTTCTCTTATTTATATGGAATGATAACAATAACAATTAGTCAAAACATTTCAAGATTTATTACTAAGACCACAGAACAGAAAATAGGCAGATATGAACAGAACTAATGTAGCAAATTAAATTCTGTAGTAATCATTGTACACTTCGGAAATTTTCTAAAAGAACATATAGCATGTTCACAGTATTCTGTTTAGGGTTATGATGTAATCTGATGTGCGATTTCAAGATATTTACAGAAATGTTTCTTGTAGAAATGAGAATTGCCGTAGTGGGACTAAAGCTTTATATTTTCTAACCGATAATTAATATTACTGCTTGACGTATTCATGACGAAAATTAATTACATGTTTTATACGTTAATATGTCTTCCATAAGTTGACTTTTAAAAATGATATCTTTTCTACATGACTGAATAATTCTCATTTTCAAAACGATAATCTGGAAACATTGACACCTCAGTCATAACATAAATCTGTTTTCTCAGACGTTAGTCAATATCACTTTCTAGACGACGAAATCAGAATTCTGACTATAATTTTCCTACTACGAGTATGTAACTTCCTCTGTAGTTTACTGTCCTTAACATTGAATGATGATATGTTCTAACTGAGACGATCAACCTTCAGTTGCTGAAGCTTAACTCATATCGATCCTCCAGCCATGATCCCGAAAGGCGAGTGCACCAATTAAGCTTCTATTCCAATTATTCTAACTACAAATTAGTGTTATACAGACATATTAGACTATATTACATCATAAAATAGAAAATCATAGTTATGCACAATTAAGTCGAAAGTGGCAAGGACAAAGCGTAAGCAATAAGCAACTGATTAGTAATCGGTGTGTAATAATTAGACATTTAGTTATAGTTAATTAGTCCAATGGAAGCTTCAGTAAACTGAATACCAAAACATAATAATCCAATTGTTTTGCAATCATACAATAGGAATGTATATAATAACGGTTCATGAAATAATTTCATGAATTACTACTTCTATAATGCTCGTTCCGTTGCATCATAATCTGTCATTCAGATTAAAACATATATTTCACTAATTAAACTACTTTCTTGAATATTGACATTATACGCATAGGAGAAATTGAGAGTCAAAAGGATGATTAGATTTTCCCAAGTGTAACAGTAAATCATTTAACTCTAGTTTGAGATTAATAAATATCATGTATTACTTCCTTGTAAATATAAAATGTTTTTTCTGTTTAAATAAATATTTTTCGTCTGTTAGAGTTCAGTGAGTTCGTAGTAAGCCCATTTAACTATTGTATTGTTTATCTGCTCACTGTAATTTAGACACTTGATCCACTATGTAATTTTCTGTGTGAGTCTAATTGAGCACATATCTGCATATCAATTTTTAATCTATCCTCCCATTGGTTGTAATACCAAGATAATCAATAATTTATCCATACTTGATTAACACTCACACACACACTCCTGCTTTCCCTGTGTGCTTGCTTCCTGTACGCTTGCAGATTTTACCAACCTTTAACAATAAACTATCTTTATAACTGGTGTTCAGGCTTTTTGAATAACTTCGAGTAAATCTATAATTCTACTAGGAGATTTAGCCTGTATTAAATACTCAGTTAATGGGATATTATTTATTGGAATCAGATATAGGGGATACTAGCCTCTACAAGTTAAACGTTTCAAGTAAAATGACGAATTCATCTTGAAAGATTTACACTTTTTAGCAAGATATAGCAAAATATAAATAATTTAAACTATTTTAACTTATCATTTTAAAAAATATTAGAAACAGAATATATCAACTAGAACAGGTAAAATAAATTAAGTAAAATAAATTTTTTTCGGGTTAAGAACCTGAAAATTCTGGGTTCCATGTCTAGTGGACTTCTAAGAGAAAATTTCTTTGAAGTTCTCCGCTGGAATGAAACGATTGTTTGATTCTGCTTGTCTTTTAGTCATTCCCTAACTGAGATCAATACATGTTCACCTATAAATTAGAAAGATTTCTACAACACTCCGTACTCTAAAATATGTATTTTAAATAAAATTTAGTTTTCAACAGCCAATCAAATAATAATGAGGATTTGTGGAGATTGTAGTAATTTTAGCAGTTGAATTCATGAATCGATCTAAACCAGGCCATCCTAATTTGGACGGAACGGCGTCCAGTGCATTTAGAATATTTGACTGCATAATAATATGATCAAATCAGTCTAAATGTTCTTAGTTTATTTTGCTGATCAATTTTTAAATCTTTTCATTTGTACTGATCAAACTCATGGTTGGACTTATTAAAACTTGTCATAACCATTAAATTAAAATTGATTTAATTTATTGATGATTGAAGAAATTCACGACATCAAGTATTTTGAATTCTTTGGAAATACGTTAAAATGTATAAACTAATAGTATATGGAACATTTGTTGAATTATTCATGTAATGCAAGACAATTTATATTGATATTACTAAACTTATATGGCACACAATTTCTTGTTGAATGTTATACAAGTATAAAATAAGTGAGTTTCTGATGAACTGGTGTTGTTAAAGTTTATTTGTAATTCACATATTCTAAGGAAATGTTATGTCCCGATAAAAATAATGAATGGTAACTTTTGGGATCCATTATGGACCAATACTAAACGTATCTTTTTATTGCGTAATTATTAAGTAACTAAACTATGTATATTCATATTCTTCTTACCATAAGCTTTATTTTGACTTATGAATTATTATTATTAATTTACTAACAAATATCTTGTATGATAAGACATAAGTATTTGTGATAAGCTGTGTCAGCGTAAAAAAGAAATATGATTGTATATACCTTAAACTGAACTAAAGATTCATTTTCTAATCAGAGATAAAAATACATTGTCTACTTAATGATTAACTATTTCCTCATTCATTTTATATACTAACTACTAGTTAGATAATAATCAGTTATGTCTTTTCATATTACAATCATATATCAAAGTGACATATTTAGTTTACTAATCATAGTAAAATAGATGTTGAATTGTCAGATACTCATCTTCGTAAATTTAAATTCTTTTAAGACATGTTACGGAGTGCAAGTATAGTTATAGTTTGGCAAGATTTCTCTAAATGTTATTAATTTATTTGCATTTATCTAGTTTCATAGTCACTTACCATAAGTACTTGAATAACCCAAATGTTTGACTTCAGATTTAAATTAATTATATTCTGATGGTGTATAGGTTCTCTAGATAAATGTAGCCACAGTATTTGTAATTGTATTTTTGATATATATTAAGTTGTACTATAGTAGATTAGTCTACATAGGACTTAAACTAAACTAACTGTTCTCAAATATAAAGTGCCTTAGAGTGAGTTTCAATGTTATTTATCTGTAATCATATAATGTAAAGCACAGGTACAACAACATACCAAATGATAAAATGACAACAAATAACACATTATTTATCAGTTGTCATGTTTAGTTAGTTAACAAGACAGCAAACCCAAACGTGGTAAATAATTTACGATGATTCTTCCATCATCGACTTGGTAAACACTTAGAACAGGATATACTGTATATGCCAAATGTTTAGTTTTTATACGGTTGTTTTCAACAATGGTACAAATACTACCTACATTGGCATTTCGATCCGCTTGATTATTATTATTACCATCATTCCCATTGGGTCGATTATCAGCATACTGATTCTTTGTCTTAAATTCATTATTTATATTATCAACACTTATATCCGTCGTACCAAATCGTCCCTTTAATTCATCAGCTAGCATTTCTGTAGTGGCTTTCTCGTGCTAAAAAAAAAGTTGGATACAAAGAAATCATGATGTATTTAGACATATTCTGTGAACGGTCATAAAATCGACCTACAGTTTCGTTAAGTGATAAGTGCTGATTTAATGTTTGAAGATCGAATTCCTAATCGCTTCCCTCTCATCTTTCTCGTATCCTCGTTGAAAGCAAGAGTTTTGTGTGTCTTGTCCCACAGGAATGTTATTTTTAGAACGTAATAAGCAAACTAACAAGTTCTCAAGCATAAGTATATGTCGGTCTTCTTCAGGGTTCGACTATAAAAAACTTATTAAATAATTTAATTATGAACATTTAGACCGATGCTTAACATTTTAGTTTACAAGATTTAGATGATAATTAGCCATGAGCAATATAATTGTGTACTTATTTTTCTATCTAGGGACACTTATAAATGAGGTTCATTTATAATTTGAACTGTTGTGTCATAGTACGTTCGGTTTACCAAACATAGTCTTCGCTGATCAATAATAGGTGTGCTTTTTAAATGTGTTTACCAATGTGAAAGTCTTACTCTATTTTCGGACAATCACGCTTGAAGTTCGAATTGTTAACTGTCAGCAGTCTAACTGTTTCATGCAGATTGTGGGACCTGTATTTTTTTTGTATGGCTATGAGTAAGCACGTTTTATACGATGTTTTGGAAAATGCATTTATTAGAACAAATAAATAATTTGAGAACACCTTGTAATTAACATTTAAATCCTTCATAAGTAATAGTACCATGCTTTATATTTCTTTTTAATCTATTTTTCTATATTATTTAAGTCATGTACTTAGTACATATTTACGTATCACGCTTTCACTTATTATAATTATTGTTATTATTATTATTACTAGCTTTATTCAATATCATATTTTTGATAAAATATAAAATTCTCAGCGCAAGGTATTTCAACAATTTTCCGTTTCATATATTTTGATCGATCCTGACGATAAATATTGAGTGATCGCCAATTAGATGTTAGCAGTTCAGGAATCGACATCTGAATAATGAACATTCATTTCGGTTTATATTGCCAGCAACCACAATGTATCTGATTGTACTTTTCATAACTTATTCAGAGAAAATTCGTGAAATTTTCACAAATGCACCTGAATAAGTTGTGCAATTAATTGAAATAATGATCTTTTGAAACACAAAAGGCGGATAACTTGTTGAAATATCTAGATGGCAGGAACAGGTAGCCCAGATATTCAAGCGGAGTCAATGACAGTATCCACTATCTCAAACTGAATAAAGTAAAGTGGAATTCTAACCTGTTGTTAACTTTTTGAAAATCAAGTTCTCTTAAATCTCGTTTCACTTCCCCATCTATATTTCTTTCACACTGTATACTTTCAGAAATTGAATACATATCATTTATATAATGTTTCTATACTTACTTGAATTAATTTTATCTCATTATTGATAGCATCTAATTGATTTTTTAACATATACGCTAAAGATTGTGGATCTGTAGTTGAATCAGTTGCACTTTCTTGAGTATTGTGCTGAGATATGGTGTTTGGTAGTTGTTTCATTTTCATAAAATTGACTATATCATTCAAGGACAATTGATTAACAGTATCATGATTTAATTGTACTGATGGATCATTGAAATTCATTACATTTTGTCGAGTTAACATTTCCTGTAATTCATTCGACTGATAAAATTTATTGTTATTATTATCACTAATTGTATTAGGAAGTGATTGAATATTGTGTAATTCAACATCAGGATTCATTTCTATTGGTTGATCCTTATGGATTGAGATGTAAGAAAAACAAAGAAAAACAGTATTAATGATCAATAATCAATTGAGATAATGTATGGTTTCATCGTGATCATTTGCATATATATTCTGTAAATCCCCAAAAAGTATGTATTATTGTTCTCCGATAATCCAAAAATCAACCCAGTAATGTCAAATGAGCAAGAGAATTCATTTGTAAAAATGGACATTATTTTGTGTATTTTCCAACAAGATAACCTGTCACTACAAAAAGATATTTCTTGGTGTTACGAACGTCTACTCGCGTTTAAACCTAAAGTACACTTATTATTACACACGAGATTTACTAAAACATTTTACAACCTGGTATTGAACTTATTTTCTTTAGATCAGTGAGTCGGAATCTATCAGTTCACATAATCAATATCGGTAAATTTGTGATGTCGTTCCGCTGACAGTCAATGACATCCAATTCTCAGGAACTAAAAACACCAACAATTTTTCGGTTTCTAATATTTTCATGCCCTCAGCAAATGTCGTGTTTTTATTGTCAAAAAGACTGTTAAATTTCCAGGAAGCACGCTTGTGGAAACTACGATTTGTCTTTCATTTTGAATTTATATTCATTTAGACATCTCAATAAACAACTTAGTTTTTATGATGATATGTATAATTGCAAGGCCATAACTTAAAGTTATTTTCTTTTTGAATCGCTTGTTTGAATCTTTCCATTGATGTTTAGGACTGCAATTGATCAACCACTTATTGTCATATGTGCATCCTGCTTCGATATTGTCTCAAATCGTAATACAAAATGAATTAAAACTCCACGCTACTGCACAAAGTAATGGCTATCAGGACTCAGTAGCTAAATGGATCACGCAATGGTGTTTGATACGAACGGTACTGAGTTCGAGTTCCTGAGTGAACATCAACTCTGGGCTGAAGTGACATCCAGTTAACGGATCCAAATAAGTGCGGACCGCGCGTACTGGATTCCACTGCCAGCAACCGCCCATCTTTGCTTATAAACGCTATTTGTTTTAACTATTAGTCGTGTTTATTGTTATTATGTTGTGTGTTCTAGAAAAATTTATTTGAATTGATAATCAAGATATGTTATACACAGACTCTTCCGTATTAAATGAAGGTTTCACGAATATGCATTTAAATGTATTTGAAGAGTTGACTAGGATTGTTTTACTTATGTAAATAGATTAGTTTTTGTGTAACAGCACTACATTTTAAAAATTTCATGCTGTATTTGAAGAACTGAGAGCTCTAGATAGATTCAAAAAACATTATCACTTAAGGCTGTAAAGACACAAGTGCATGATTACTGTCATAAATGAGCTCCACTTGGTTTGTGTTCAGACAAACATTACAGGAGGCTTTAGTGGAGTAAGAATATGAGTGCAAATCACACAAACCTACAGTCTGATTTAAGTTTGCCAAATATCGTTGGCTGGTATTAGCAGAAACATCAGTAAGACATTTTCTTTTCAGATATCCTTTTCGAATTGATTATAAAATTCTTTAACTTTTTTTCCGTAAGGCAGATTTATTAGATTGACATAAAACACAAATATATTTCTTACAATCCAAATATTTACCCTGTACATCTTAATCCATGAAACGTCTTGTAAGAAATCTACATTTTTCCTAATAAAAATTGAGAAATATCCTTTATCAGCCTGCAAACTGTAATTAGTCCATTCTATTGTAACCAATTATATCATAGGATGTTTAGGAATTATTACGTTACTCAAGTTCATTAATTTTTACAAAATTTTTCTATTCATTTTATATGATCAATCTCTTTCACATGCTGGTATACATTTCAAATACGCTCCTCTAATTTACATCATTTAGGCTAGATGAAGTCTTTCTTTAATTCAATAAAAATCATGATTATGCTTGAGTCAACAAATTTTTCTCGCTGATAACTGATTATATGTATGAATATTAAATGTATACACTAATTTTCAATCATCATAGATATGTAGTATAAAGCCTATATTAAAATAACTTGGAGAGTTAAACACCTACCGAATTATTATTAGCTTGTGAATAGATCCATGTATTAGTGATCAATTTTGAAATTAAATCTATTGGACTACTTTGCTCAGTTCCATAGTTTTCCACTACACTTGAAGGACATACTATAATTAAAATAAAGAATAAAAATTTAAATTAAATTATATAGGAATGAAATTAGACGACAACTTATAAGTGAACAATATTATTGATAACTAGGTTACCAAGCTTTAATTTACAAAAAAGTAAAAGTCAGTAATAACAAGGAAGTAAGGTACACAACTAATCACAATAAATGAAGTAAGATGACAGGTGTACTAGTCTTAATAAGTTGAATAAGAATAGCATGATTTAATATTGTAAAATAAAAAGTAGGTAAAAACTTAAGAAAATAAGTTCAATAAATACTGCAACGAAACAGAAAGTATAATATTATTGACAATGAAGGTTATCAATCAAGATCAATATAAACTCCAATACAGTAGGTAATTAATTTTTCCTTATTTATTCAAACCTGGTTAAAGGAATTAAAACATGATAAAACATTATATGCTTGAATTCTGTTTATTTCGGTAAATCATATACTCATAGTAGCTTTTTCTACATATAGGTTTCTGCAGTTTCAAATCAGTTAAGACTTCGATTCAACCTATTTGGTAGGCAAATATAGTACGTGTTATTTTACATCATAGCACTCTTTCACTTTCTTTTTTATACATCATAAATAAGGATTTGCTTTGGAATGCATAGGACCGCCTACATATTTATTTGCCATAACCTTCTGAATGTTAATTACTCAGACGCTTAATGACTCATTCGCATAAAAACAGAGAATACATATTTGGGTTTTGACCACATTCATAACTTCACCAGTCTTTCTGTTTTCTTTTGAGTTGTGTGATTAAAGTAGTTCGTAGAAATAAACTGCTCTTCCTGCTTTGTTTGGACTTCTAAAAATTGTACTCCGTTGTGGATTTATGGTATTATAGGTTGTTTGGTCGACGAAATATAGGAATAATCGTATGGATATCTACAATAAATTACTAAAAGAACTGATGTCTCAAGGTAGCCAACAGAAAAAATATCTTTGTTTCGCATATACAGTGGGTTGATTCAGTTCAGTAATAACCTTAGAAACGGCTACAGAGTCTGTTGAACTAAAAGCTTATATTTGCTAACGAAACTCTTAATTTAACGGAACTTTAATCTTAGAACCTGTTACTACAAGAACTACATTACGTGTAATGACATTTTTCCTTAAATATTACATCATTCTCTTGCTTCATTGTAAGTTATTACGAACATCTCACAAAGTATGACTACGCAAAAGTTACTTCAGAGTGGTTTATGGTAAAGCCTAATTTGGATTAGTTCAGTAGTTATTATAAAATATAAATATATTTGAAGTTATGAAAAAAGTTACTTAACTATTGATATAATCATAAGAAAGCTGTATGGGTATCAAGTTAGTTGGGTTTCCAATTAGACAGTAACTCAATCATAATTATTTAAATCAATAACAAGTTTTTCATTGTTACTAATAAAAAAATCCGTGTACTTTGCTTTCACGAATCCTTTCGGTTTTATCAGCGATAATAGTAGGAATAATGTTTTCTGGTGCCTTATATCTCTGGCACAGACATAAACGTTGTAATCTTTAAGATTTGAGTTATAGCTTATTCGGTGGTTTATGAAGAATTGAACGTAGTTTGTCACGAAATGAGTTTAGCTCGGGTAATGTAGTAGATTTACCATCAGATTGAAAAAATGAATGTCTTAAGCTCTCTAGTTTTAAACAGAGCCTCTGCTTCAATATCTCTCTTATATGTACCAACAGATAAACAAGATGACATTGTGTATTATTCAACAAACTGTTGACTACTGATAAAAATATACTTGTTCTGAAAGTTTCTTTTCTCTTTGAAAATGTAGACATGGTTTCATTTTTATGCTAAACAAAATGCTATTAAAATTATCATTAGTAATTTTAAAGAAATACATCTGTTCCAATGGACAGTTTGACATTTAATCAATTTGACAGTTAGAATATTTTAATAGAATACAATACAAAATTATAGTATTCCTGTTTCAAGTTCCGCTCATATCAAGGAAATCCATTCTCATGAATGCACCATTAAAACACTTAAGTAATAGACTAGTAATAAGTTAAAACTTCCTTTGCTAACCAAAAGGGGATAGCGGCTAGCAGTGGAATCCAGGACGCGCGTTTCGTCTTAGTTGGGACTCGTCAGCTGGATGTACCTGCATCTCGGAGTTGATATTCACTCCGCGATCCGAACCCAGTACCGTTCGCTTCAAACGCCATCGTGTTATCCACTTAGCTACCGAGTCCTGATAGCCACTTGCTTGTGCAATGGGGTGAAGTCTAAATTCACTTGGTATTGTTTACTTGAGTCTTCCCATTGATGTTCAGGACTGCAATTGATGTCTCATATTGGCACATGTACATACTATGCGTATTGCCTAGATATTGTCTTAATCCATCGTTGCTTGGAATTCTTGTGAATTAAGGCAATATCGAGGTAATACGCACAGTATTTACATGTGCCATTATGAGACATCAATTGTAGTCCTGAACATCAATCGGAAGATTCAAGTAAACAATTCTAAGTGAATTGTTTTGCTAACGTTTCCTAACCAAGCGACACGATTTATGATTGAACTTAAGCTCAGAAGTATGATTCAGTTTATGATTGTTTATTTTTTTACTGAAACTGTTGATATTATACTTTAGCAATCACATCAATTGGTGAATGCATGCTGCGGAAATACTTTTTAGGGTGTATATACAACTCAGTCAATTAATGTAGACTTTACATATATATCATTGATATTATTTCAAAAAAGAAATATCTACATTACATTTTACCTGAATTTTGTATAGAAATATCTGTATTATGCTGTTGTTGCTGTCGTTCCATGTTAACTTTCTCAGATGATGCTTTGGCTAATGCCATAATAGTAGCCTGAGCTGCAGAAGTTGATGTATGAGCAATTGCAAGTTGAGCTTGTGAATAACGAAAAGCAGCTGCTAATTCAGACAATTTCTGTCTTAATAACATTGATTCTGTTATATTTGTTTCACGTTCTCTTATTGCTGTTTCTAATGCTCTCTTTATTTGTTCAATTTGATTATTTAAATTTTGTTTTTGTTCTAAAGCCAACATTCTTTCTTGTAAATGATTTTGTAAACGTTCATTAGATTCTTGTAATAATTTATCAACCTTTAAATATAAATAAGATAGATATACAATTCTAACTATTAACTTTTATATAAATTATTGATTAAAATAATGTCAAAAACTAGGTTTTCTATTAATTTTTTCTATACCGTGGTTGAGAACTGTTAAGGAATCCCATACTAGGAATAAATGGCCGTTCAGTGCCTCCACGTTTCTTAATGGTGGTCTGGCTATGATCGACTCATGAATTCAACTGTTACTTTCTACATTGTATCTTTAGGCACTAATGTAAAATGATTTGAAGAAAAGAATTGCAAATAATTACACTTATTGTATACATTAGAGATTAACGATATCAAATATCTAAAATTCCTTTGAAAATAAGATAATTCGTCAAAAACATATCAGGAAAATATGTATCCCAGCATTTATCTCAGTGAGAAAGTGGGAATCTTTTTTTGTCTGGATTTTGATATTCAATGAAAATAAAAATGTTATCAACCTAATTAATGTTCCATCGTTTAAAAGTGAATTATAATGTACCAAAAATTGAAATTTTTCATCTATGTGAACTTATTCCCTAAATCTGATAGTTCACTAGACGCCTGTCCCTAAAATGCGTTAGCGTAGCTCATATGTTCAATCACCACCTGGATCAAACCACGAGATCATTATATATTTTCGGAGTTCAAGAAGCAGTCTTCTTCTCATAACCAATTTTGATGCCTAAACAGGAACTCTAGCTCAGTAATTATTACTTTGAGTTCGAATTTTTTAGATTTTTAGATTGAATAGCCTCATTCCTATGATTCAATTATAAACATCCATTCTAGGAAAGGCCACAGAGCTGAAAGAATAGCCTTTAAGAATTTTATTAAAATTGATTCAAAAAGCGATTAATCAGTTTTAAGAGATGATACCCTTTTAAATATTCATAATAATTAAAATCGAACCAAAAATTTGGAAGGAGACCAATAATTATTTTGTAGCATACTGGAACATCTTGAAAATCACCCCCCCCCAAAAGACAGCTGTAGATATCCCTTTAATGTTTATAAGATTGTGAATCATAAGATGAAAAATGTGTTGAATATTCCCCTTGAATTTATATGTTAAATATAATTCAACATATCAAAACTACTGTAACACACTAAACATAATAAACAGATAAACTATTTCTGTAAAATAATCATACGAGTATTTTTTTACATGGAACTAATGATAAAATACCAATAATTTCAACACAAAGTAACACTGAATTATAACCAATAACATTCCGTTTAATCCACAGTTTTTATAAAAATCACGTTGCGAGATAAACAGTAATCCAAATGATCTACATATCTCGATTTTGTATTAAATAACATTTGTAAATAAATCCATTCCAAATATGCATTGTGATATACCGACTGTCCTACAAATTAAACATTTCACAGGTTGAAATCATGAGTCAGTCGAAGCTAGACCACCATTGAAAACCCGGAAGCACTGGACGGCCGTTTCGCCCTAGTATGGGACTCCTCAGCAGTGCGCATCCACGAACCCGCCCCCTACGGGATTCGAACCCAGGACCTACTGGCTTCGCGCGCGAGCACTTGACCATTAGACCACTGAGCCGGCATCCAATGGTGTTAATGTCTAACTTCAACCAATCCACGAAGTTGCGCCAAGCCAGTAGGTCCTGGGTTCGAATCCCGTGGGGGCGGGTTCGTGGATGCGCACTGCTGAGGAGTCCCATACTAGGACGAAACGGCCGTCCAGTGCTTCCAGGTTTCCAATGGTGGTCTAGCTTCAACTGACTCATGATTTCAACCTGTGAAATTTACTAAAATCTCCACAAAACTCATTCTGAAAATTAAACATTCACAGCTTTGTCACTTTTCGTCATATAACATAGTGGATAAGAGTATATTTTTTAGGAATGCATAACTAATAAGAACCTTATAAAAATTACTATCTCACATGTAACCAGATTGCATTAATCAGTTAAAATATAGATATTGTACTAAGTTAAATCTAATCGAAAATTGAAGGAGATAAAAAAATATATTCTATCACAAAGTTAAATAGTTCAGTCAAAATCCACATATATTTTGATTGATCACAATTGTTAACTTACTGTTCCCGATAAACGAGTTATGTGTTCTTCATTAATTATTTCTCTTTCTTTTGCACGCGTTAATTCTTGTTTAACTTCTTCTATTTCATCTGTTAATTCTTTTACCTGATCTTCATAAGAATTCCATTCCTGTTGAAAGATATGTCGAGAATAATGATTCCTTTTTGATGCTGATCTAATAGATTTGATTTTTCGGACACGTTTGCTCTCAAGGCCAGTGATTGAATCAGTCTCTTGTTCCATTTCCCCCTCAGATATTTGTTTATTCATTAATTCAGGATTACTTTCATCAGAGCAAGCATTTTCTTCATTGTATTGAGTTCCAGCAATAACATCCTCCTCCTCCTCCTCATCATCATCAATGTCAACTTCATCATGAATGTATTTAGTTTTGAAAGATTTAGTCAAGAAATGATTTGACAATGATCTACTCTGCAACAGATCGTCTTCCATTGTATCTAATTTAATTTGTAGTGTTCGAACTTTTTCTTCTTGCTGAATAGAAAAAATGAAATGAACGATTAGTCCATGACTATGTAACACTGTTACAACCTAAGTCAAATATCGAAATTTCGTAACCTGAATTCTAGTCTAAAATTTACGTGTAACTACAGCATTTTAATCGAAAAAAAACAGAAAAAAACATTGTCAAATAAAAACGAAGTTCCAGTGAAATTATAAACCGATCACTGTAAGAACACAAATCGCCCCAAAGCCAAACAGAAAAATAAAAATGGACAAAATCGAGATTTTACAGGTGTCAATCTGTAGATGTTGTTGCAACTATTTATTAGAGAATAATGAAATAAAACACAATTGTATGAACGAAGAATATTCTTTTCAATGAATTTCTCATCAGGTTCTACAATTATAAATCCAGAATAATAATCCAGAAAATTGGCCAGATTTAAGGCAAAATACATCATTTGGAAATTGTAATATGTGAATCAGGAATTGTTTGTTATATAAATAAAATCGTTAATGTTGGGATGACTAATATGAAGTGTTAACTTGAATCAGTTTATAAGTGAAATGAAATTGTGAGATAAATTATCAGAATAAATATGGTCAACATCGGGTAGGAGAGAGAGAGAGAGAGGGAGAGGATATTGTGATTACAAATCGGAAATTGCGTAATATGTAAAATAATTGGGTCAAATGTAGTAGATTTAGGGGTGGATATTGAATAAATTCCTCAAAAAAGGTTATCAAGTGTAAAGACAATAATAGTGATAATAACAATAATAATAATAATAATAATAATAATAATAATAATAAAGTTTGGGACATAAAATGAACATTAGTCAGATTACGTCACCACATTATAAGATTGATTATTAGCTAGTTGGCCAGGGTAAAAGTAGTGGCTGAACATACTTCTTTTGGATACAAAGCTCTGGCTTTTTGATTCGAATAGCAATTGCTTCAGCTGTCTGTAGGATTCGCAGTCTGACGGAATTAGGTAGACTGCTGTTGACACGATAGATTATTGCGAAAGATTGCTCCATGTTTGCTATATGTCCTGTTTGGACTAAATGGTCTAACATGGAGCTGTTAACAGTTTTGACAACACCTTTGCTTAACCACACGGGTAGGTGCTCACGAAAATCATGCATTTTTATTTCTAACCAATTGACTAATCAATGGTTAACTGATTGTTCATTACACAGAGACTGCATGTGATTTAGACTACACTATTGATCGTCTTTTGATATACTTGTCAGAAACAAATACATATATATATATATATATATATATATATATATATATATATATATATATATATATATATATATATATGTTAAGTAGAATTATGATTAGACAGAAAGGGAAATTGTGTTTGTTTATCGGAATTTTTCTTTCGAAAGAAAATGAAGTTATATATAAATATATATAATGATATATTAGTAATTCTTTGAGTGAACAAACGAAATGTTATAGTTTTGAAAAATAATGTCATTTGACTCTCATTGTTTTGTTTAGATGAATAATTTGTTTTGAAATTTTCATCCATTCTAACTCTGAGTTCATTTATAATACACATCCATTGATTGAACATAAAACCTCCAAGTGTTGTTGGTTAAAAGGCTTTTTTAGATAACGTAGTTAAAATTTCATAGTTCTAATTTTTATTGTTAAACAGTTCATGATACAGCACAAATATTGTTTTAAAAGTTTTGTAAAATTTCTATTCCTATCAATATAACCGAACTCTATCAGACGTTACTAAAAACTAAATCTTGAAAAGTTCATCTCGAAGCTGGTTACTAGTAGATAAGCAATTATTATATTAGAGACCTATGAAGATGTTCCTTCCACTGATTGGAATATTGAATTTATGAACTTTTTTTAACCAAATTACGTAATGAATCAACAAACAAACTGTAGTAATAAATGAACTAAGTATGATCTAGCTGTACAGATCTCAAGTTAGAACCTTATTCCAAACATCCTAACTACAAGTTACTTGATTTTAAGCTAATGCATATTGATTAACGAATTCATAAGTTTAACCTATTAGCATTTACACGATAGTTCGGGAATTTAGTAACGTTTATATGCATTGAGATGCGTAAACATTTTCATCTATAAGCAATTTAAAACAATCTGACGTTCTTTTATACTTTGGTAATTTGGAATGTTTCACTGTAAAAATTCTGTTATCTCACTAACCATTTTCTTCTTTTCAATCAGTGAGTTTCTCAATTATGCATAAAAGCAAATCTATTAATCACTACTATTTGGAAATTCATTATTTTCTAAGAAATAAATCAGGACGGTTCAAAGAAGAATTTCCTTAAAATCATGATCGACAATTTCAAACTGTTCGATTCGAATTAAGCTTACCCCTCTTCAACTCGCATTCTTACTGGCCAATTCTCACAAGCACTTCTACACTTATCACGAATACTCACTAGTCTTTCTCATTATATTATTGTTGACTGAGCATGAAAAGTAAACGACAAGATTTCTGTTATCTCTTAATCTTACATTTGTTAAGGAGTGCGTCAATTAATCACTAGGAGTACAGTGAAAATTAGGTTGTGTAACATTTTCGCTCTATTTTGTTCTTTCTTTCCAATTGCATAAATGAATAAATACATAACAGTCTTAGGCAATCATATATATTGTAGCATTAATTTAGTGAAATTTCACAGTCACTGTGTGTGATATTTGTTATTTTATGCAACACAAAACACATTTCTGTTTTAATTATTGAAAAAATATAAACGTGATCAATCAATCACTGACAATAAATGTTTAGTAAATTTGCAATCTCTAATAGTTCGTAAATTTATGCCACTTTTCGATAACAGTAACCACTTAAGAATGTTTCAAGCCCTAAAAAGGCTTATTATCACGGAAGCAAGAAATACATTTTTCACAGATTAATTCTTTCAGTGGAAATAAAATTGACAGATAAACCATAGTTACAGCATTTCCAGTACAAACAAAACAGTGAACTACATAAATTTCTGTAATTTGGATCCTCTGAATTGTCTAAGTTTATATGAGAGATCGTACGGCATTATGAAAAACTCTCTTTTACTGTTACTCATTGTACAATTTACAGTATGCTTGTTGGGAATAAGTAAACACTCACTCTTTTTGCTTTATAAGTTGAGCTTTTTACCTAACATGTTAAACATCCTCTAAGCGACTGGAAGTTATATCTCCTGCGATGATGGTTGATCACTACTTATAAACAGCACTCACTTCTACCATGCTATTTGTTTTTGCTTTCTGCTAACCAGTTTTTTCAATGAAAATCATGTATAACTGAAATGTGAATGAAAAAACAACTTTACTTCACTGTATTTTTGACGAGCGTCAAATGACTTCAGAAGCGTTTTCCATCATTAAATATACAGAGCTCAGTAAACTCCTCCAAGAGTCTTAGGAAGATATTGATTTTACAACCCCGAGACCATAGTATACTGGAAATGATAATTAATCATTTAAAACTATAGAAAAATTGCTAAATAGTCAATGTACTTGAGCACACGCTTTCCTTTTTGTTCATGAAACAACCTAAATATGATTTTACAGGTTATGGTTATCTTTGTTTTAAATAAAAATTGATAAACAATTCAGTTCATTTCTGTTTTATAGCATTCTGCATACATAAGGTGTTTAGATGAATTTCTTATATCTAACCAAATTCTAGTTTGATGAAACAGTAAAATTAAATTATTCATTATTATGACATGTGATATACATTTGGAAATAAACTACGCTTTACACAGTCCTGAAACTAACATATTTTGAAAATACCGGTAAACATTTATTCGTTTACATAATATATATAATGATGGCACAACAGAAGAACTCCAAAGAATCTTAAAGCAACACAGAATTAAAGTATATTACAAAACAACGAACACACTTCAAAATACTTTAGTTCGCTTAAAAGAAAAAATCCCTTTCATGTCCACACAGAACTGAGTCTACAAATTAGGTTGTATCGATTGTGATGCCTTCTATATTGGAGAGTCATCTCGAGAAATCTTGACTAGAGCCGAAGAACATATTAGGTACACAAAGAAACCTCCTAATAATCCCATGGAATTGGATAAACTTCAAATTAAATCGTCAATAGCAGTTCATACCATTTTCAACGACCACCAAATTGATTTTAAACATATCAAAATACTGCGAAAAGGCTTTTTCAATTACACAGAAAGGAGAGTAGCTGAAGCGTTCCATATCATGCTTAATCCTACTTCGCTCAATAGAAAACAAGGCCTTACCATACATCCTACGTGGACTAACTATCCTAGCCATTCAGTCTGATCGTATTTACAATTCACACTATCATCTTACAAATTAAACTCTATCCTTTCTCACCATAAATGTCACACAATTTTTCATCCTTAAACAATGCACACATACTGTTGTAACTTGAGGCCTGCAGATTAGAGCAAGGCGTGTTATCGATCGATTCTTATTGTTCCGCTGTACTACATAAACTTGGATTAATTTTAATTTAGTTATTTATTCTCTGAAGAATTGATTACACTAAGCCACGAAACGTCAGAAAATCTAATTTTTCTACTCATTGGGATATTACAAATCTATTATTTATTTATAACAATCTACCCAATGCTCAATTTATTCGAAATCATCAAATCAAACCTTGGTAATGATACCTACAATATATATAATGATTATATTAATGTTCTAGATACCCATAAATTCACTGTAGATTTGTTAATTTGACATTTTGTTAATCTTGTTGGGTATAATCAATCAACTCGGTGTTAATGAGAATAACTCTCTTTCAATAAGTACTGTTGGGTTTGTTTTTTGCATTATTATTATTATCTCATCTGTATCCTTTCAGATTTAAGACGTCTTAGTTATTCTGCCATTTGAACGAAGCGTGTGCTTTATAGTTATCTATCACTAACTACATATATTTGCTTATTTACTTATTGGTAAATGTTATATGTCACATGTAAAATGCGGATTGATCTGTTCTATGAAAGAAATTTACAGCAAATAAATCGGATAGTTTTAAAGGATGAAAACCTTTTTCAAAAAAAGAATGTAAATAACTTTGAAATTTTACCTGTTTAAGTTGCGTTGATTTGAAGGCTAATTCAGCTCGTAATTTGTCAGTCATATCTTGGGCTGCATTTAATTCACGCTGAGTAACTAAATATCTTTGTTCTAAACTCGTAGCTAGGGATTCTTGATCAGTTCTTCGTTGCTCAGATTCACGTAGTTCACGAGTAAGCCTTTCAATCTAAAATAAATTAATTAAAACATTTTTGTGATATATATAAGTATCCATATATAACATAAATAATAAATATCTGTCTAAAAATCAACTCTCAAACCGAGAACAAAATATTTCGTGCATTTTGAATCCAGAAAAACTAAGGTTGCTCATCTGCAAACTGAAAGACGTTTAGGCGCTCCAGAGGACGAAAAGGTAAACGCTTATGGTGGTACTATGATTATCTGCATTTTAATAGTTTTAACTGTAAAATAAGCACTCAAATCTGTCTCAGTTGTATGATGAGTGAAAATACTCAGTACGAACAATATATTTTCCGTACACTTTTAAAATTGGGAGCTAATAAATTCTAAATCTTGTGTATTATTCTGAACATCCTGCTTTGTCAGACCATCTACAAAAATATGTTGCAGTCTGTATTGGTGTTAATGTCATAAGGAAAATTTCAGTTCGGTCTTGAGAAACAAATCATGAAGTTACTATCAGTCTTTTCATGGATTCCAAAGTGGTTTCCGAAACGATGCTAACTGTTGGCTTTCATAAAAAGTATATTTTTTGTCATAGAACAAGAATAAATTTAACTTAGACTTTTAGATGACTAAAGGAGTAAAAGTAACCGAATTTCACGTAAAGACGCTGTATCAATACCACAAAGATTATTTTTTGAGCCCGAATAATGTTTTTGATATATGGTGGATTAAACGAGCTATTATTGATCAGATTATATTTATTTTAGTCAATGAGTCATCCGTAGTCAATGTATGAGAATTTTGTGACCTTGTATCTGACTCCAGTTAGATCCTACGATGATTGTTGTCGAAATTTACATGTCGCAAACCCTCGTATATTTTCATTGACTCGCGTTAGTGAATCGCCGAATTAAACAAGTCAAATACGAAAATGAATTTCAATTACGTATATTTTATACAATCGTTAATCGGAACAGACAATTAAGGATGCGATGAAAAGGAAGCAAAGTGAAATGAAACGATGCATAGTGGCGAAGGCGAGTTAACCAACTCAATGTAATCAAGCATTCATCGATAGTTATAGTCAAACAAAAATACGTTACAGACACATGATGAATAGGGTAAGTAATTAACACACATACGATCATATAAAAAAACAGCCAGGCTTAATAAGCGAATAAGGGACAGGGTAAAAATGTGGCTTGAGAAGAATGAATAGACTGGTCTGCTTATAGTCTAGAATGACCTATGTAGTCTTGACAATAAGATTCAATCTCACACCTCTTTACAGGTCATTTGTATGGAGTGAAATGTAATGAGTCCTCTAAACAGTATGTCTTCATTCCTATCCATCCTCTTCAATCAAGTTATTATTTATCTCGTGAACCCTGCTATGTATCATTAAGTTGAAGTGAACTACAAGAACTTGACTGACAAATTCACGAACTACTTAGATCCTCCAAATAAATTCCATTATATAATAGAAAGTTATATTTATTCGATAAACGTCAAAAATTTTAAAGAAAGATCAATTAGTGAGAGACTTTCGGAAGTGCATTGAGATTAGAATCTTTAAACAACTGATGAACATATCATATACGTTTTGGCAAAAAATTATCGTTTCTAAAGTTATTATTCAAATAGCATCTTTCTGATTATTTTTAAAGGTGGATTGATTAATAAAACGAAGTGATAATCCAAAGATAATAGTCCAGAGATTTTGAGTTCTGAAACCAAATCATTACGAAACTATAATCCAATAATCATATCGTCTACACTAATTAAGCCGAAAGTAGTAAGCACCTAAATTAACGGATTTTGATTGCAGCCATGAATTAAACTCAGATAGAATTGAACATAAAAATTATTTCTTGAATCTCTGAATTGCAAACAAACTATGTATGGAAACACATAAACAGCTATTGGACAAACCATTTATTTTCATCAAATGAACAGTGGCTAACAATATAATCCAATTTAAGACTCGTCAGTTGGATTTACTTGTTGATTTTTACACTGAGACTCAAACCTTGTATCCTTAAACAAATACGTCAAAATGTTGTACATTGAGCTATTGAATCCATATTATCATCGGTTAATGCAACGGGTTTTATAATTTCATGTCGTCGATGTCAAGGATTTCAAAATACGTCAGTTTCCAGATCTACTACTTTAAGCTATAATTTTATGATGTTGGATAAACAGACTAATTCATTTAAAAAGTTTATACTTCTATTATAAAAGTTGAATGATATTTGAATAATTTACTTGGTCATTAGCATGATTTAATTCACTCTGTGCTAAACTCAATGAATTTGAGCTTTCTCTTGATCGACTTGTCAGTTCAATCACTTGCCTTCGAGCAGCGAGTAATTCAGATGCCTATAAAATAAATAAGACAAATATAATGAATCATTAGTATATTTTTAAAAATAATATTACAAATATATTTTTCACCCTTTTATATTATACAATAGGTTCTTTTTTGAAGTTAATTTTTAAAAAAATACGGTATGTATATATTTCAACATAAAGATCATTAATTTAACAAGTCCTAAACCACTTGTAATCTAGCAAACTTTGTGAATTGTACGAGATTCTCATACTATCTATCATCACAGATTTAGGGTACTATGTATTCTACGAGTAAAATTAGCAATAAATTTTATATGAAAATTATATTTGTGACAAATTTCGATAATGCAATGAGAAGACGAAGTTTATCAGAATTATGTGATATATTTGCTCAATACATTTCGAATAATCTGTTCAAATAAGATCATAGGATAGACAGACATCATACTCTATTGCGAAACATTTGATTGAGATTGGTCATAAGTTTGAAATCAAGCCAGCATTTGTAGTGTTATACAAAAGCCTTCAAAGACGTATACTACGGCTTGTTGAAGCCATGGCTATATGGAAATTGAAATCCCCTTTATGCGTTCAGAAACAATTTGTCCTTACACTTAACCTACCCTGGTAATACTGATTTATTATCCAGAGTGGTAATCACATTTGTTTTTGTGTACTTTAATATTATTATTTTTTTCTTGTTATGGCTTACCTTTAACCTGTCTAGTTGACCTCTTAATTTAGATATAAAATATCTTAACAAGTATATGTGTGATCAGATTGTTCGAAATGTATTGAGCAAATATATCACATAATTGTGATAAACTTCGTCTTCTTCAAAAGAGACAGTATTAAACTTATTATTACCCTGGTGATCCATTTTTTTATTTTATTTTTATTGTTCTTTGGTTATTTGTGTTATTTTATTCATTTATTTATTTTAAAATATTTATTTTGTGTTTTAAATTCCTCCCCTATTACCAAATTCTTAAATCAACTTTTCATTCACACATTTCCGCCCACTTACCCTCTTAAATTATGTTAACTTTTCGAACTCTATTCAATTACTACGTAACCTATCTTATCACTCCATGAATCCTTCACTGCCTTTAAAATTATCACACAATTTATGAACTCCACTCAACTACTACATCACCCATCTTGAATTGTTGCCTTAATTCTAACACCAATTAACCTCTGACCTGTTCCTACATATATATATATATATATATATATATATATATATATATATATATAGTTATTATTGTAAACGTTTGTCATTCCAATTATTTACAATCATTTATGTCAATTATAAGCAAAGATGGATAGTGGCTAGCAGTGGAATCCAGGACGCGCGTTTCGTCCTGTTTGGGACTCGTCAGCTGGATGTACCTGCATCTCAGAGTTGATGTTCACCCTGGGACTCGAACTCAGTACCGTTCGCTTCAAACGCCATCGCGTTATCCACTTAGCTACTGAGTCCTGATAGCCACTTGCTTGTGCAATGGGTTGAAGTTGAATTCACTTGATATTGTTTTACTTGAATCTTCCCATTGATGTTTTTGGACTGAAATTGATCAGTCTCTTATTGGCATATGTGCATACTGTGCGTATGCCTCGATATTGCCTAAATTTACAAGCATTATAAGCAAAGATGGATAGTGGCTAGCAGTGGAATCCAGGACGCGCGTTTCGTCCTGTTTGGGACTCGTCAGCTGGATGTACCTGCATCTCAGAGTTGATGTTCACTCTGGGACTCGATAAGACTGATCAATTTCAGTCCAAAAACATCAATGGGAAGATTCAAGTAAAACAATATCAAGTGAATTTATGTCAATTGTTTCACACAATTTCGTATCTCAATGTAAAATTCTATTACATATTTGGTTGTAAGCAGCTGATGAGATACCTCGAACTATTATGAATTCATATTATTCTGCATCAATATTTGTTCTTGCTTTATTTAAATTCATTAAATGAACTTATTGCATGAAATCTTCTCATTGTATTATCGAAATTTATCAAAGGGACTAATTGTTTTAAATATTTGGGATAAGTGTCTATTTTAAACTTACAGAAATCAGTGTATAATGTAATGAAAGTGGATAGTGATTCGATAAGTTGAAAATATAAAATTTATTAAGATATAATTCTTTTAAATAAAACTTTATGTAAAATAAAAAGTCAATATTTGATATAAATAATGAATGAATTAAGTGGAAAAAATCACTAATTGCTTGTAATAAAATAATAACAATTGTTTAATTACCCCTCTCTATGTATATATATTTAAATAAACATGCAGATTAGTAAATGGAATGGAATGTAACGTAATCATTTGTACAATGTCCAGGCTAAAGTGCAATCAAGAACTTGATCTTTCTAAATACAACCAGTATATCAGCGTAATATGTTTTCTTGATGCTTGCTTTTAGCTTCTATCTCAAAATTGTAATGTTTTATTCTTTTCTGAATGGTAAAGAGATATAGACCATTTTCTTTGCTGACGAATTAAGAACTAACGTTTACACCTATTCATCTACTTTAATTGGTATCTGTTTAGTATCGATTTTCAGTCAGCAATCCTGTGTCTTTAAACGTATTTGTAGTGAATATTCTTTGAGTTCTGTCGAAGTAGCACTTTGTGAAGCCCCGCTTGTGTTGCAGTGCAAATTTGGATATTGTTCAGTCCAGGATAGCTTCCCATAATCGAACAAGTTTATAGTTTCATTCTCCGTTCCACTCAATTTATTTAATTGATCTTTATTAATTTTCACATGCCATGCTTTCAAAAGTATACGTGTGACCAGGCTACTTAAAATGTATTGAGCAAATATATCACATCCTTCAGATCAACCCCGTCTCCTCAGCATTGGAAGCTGTTGGTCTTTGGATGATGATAATATTTTTCAAACACACTTTGGATAGAACATTATTGTGACTATATATATAAACCAAGAAGGTACAAGAATAGATATTAACATTTGGAATTCAACGCCGCCGTTTGAGAACTTACGTCGTTCTCCATTAATACTATGTAAAGTCGTAAAACTAGAAAGAATAAATGGACTAGGTTCGAGATTGTTTTTATTATAGAGTTTAGCTGTTTTTGTTCAACAGTTGCTATCTTATTCAGGATTCATAGACGGTGGAATACAAGTTTATTTGTTCGAAATTCGTGACAACATTTTTAGTCATTAAAGTAAAAAAAAAACTATATTAGCCTATCGAGCATCAAACGAAGTTGAAGGATACATCAATCTCTGTTTTTATTGCTTTAACAAACGATGCTTACTGATACCTTATCCAATTTTACAATTTTGTTGTTTTGTTTAACTTTCGAGGTCAGTTAACGTAAATATCTTTCACCAGTTCTTTTGAGAGCAATTACACTGAGTCTATGCAATTATTTTAAAGCCAAACTCATTAGATGAGTAGAGGCAAGTGGTCCAAAACCTCAGATCTAGGTTTCCTGTCAGTTAACTCTCACCACCGTGGGTAATACGAAACAACAGGTAACTAGTAGTTTGCTCAAAGATTCCAACACATATCATTCTACATCTCAGTTCAATTTCCAAACCCCGATCAGCTAGCGATATTCCAGTGACTTTTGCTATCGTGGAGGAGCCATTATTCTCAGAAGTTATAATTCCTCATAGTCAAACAGAATTAATTTTATTAAACCATTTAGTTATATTATCAAGTAGTAATCAGAAATCTTAAATCAAATGTCTGTGATTGGTTTTCAGGTGATTAAAAATGTTCCATTTTAAGTCTTATATTCGCATTTGGAAAATCTGGCATTCCCGTTTTCTGACATAAGACGTAATAGATAAAGTCTTTTTGAAATTTTTAAAGTCGACGTTTACTTAGTAGTTTTCGATATTTGCTGGACATATAATCGCTAGTGATGAGACATCAACTTGGAGTTAATAATTATTTGAAGGGAACTCTTGTAAACAGTGTGAAAATAATTTATAAGCTAATTTCCAATATAAACATACACGTTGTTCAAGATTTTCTTGCAGTTCTTTGATTCTGTTCGCTGCTTCAAGAGCAGCTGCTGACGCTGAACCACAGAATAAATTTGATAAAGGAGCATTCAGAACTGATGACGAAGATAAGAATTCAGAACTTTTACTTATTCCAACTGATCCTTGTGGGAATGAAACAGTTTCTAATTTGTAGAAAAATAAAGTGATATTTCAGTGATTATGACGCAATAACAAATTTTAATATATTGCTAAAAGCAAAAGATGGGGAAAATTTAAATCTTTAGACTGGACGAGAAGTACATGTTGTGGTTTACATCGTAAAGTTATCTTAGATAGATAACCATTGAAGAACAGGAAGCATCGGACAGCTATTTCGTTCTAGTATGATGCATCCATTTTCCCATCAGAGATGGAACTCCAGCCCCTAACACATCGCGACAACTGCCTAACATTTAAATAATTGACCTGGTATCCAACGGTGTATATGATTAAATTTAGATACATACTATGAAAATCCAGCAATCTCCATAAATCTTCATAACAACAGTAAATGACTGTTTGACTATTTCGCTGATATTGATTAGCCCATATTTTATTGTATATTATAATAAGCGTTTTGTTCGACAACGTTACTCACCATTTATTAACTAAGAAATCAAGAAAAAAACAGAAATAATAACTCCACTTTTCTAAATTGAACATTGAATGAAAATAATCATTAATTCTGTATTTGCCCCTTCATTTTCTCCGCTCACTTTTTCTTTGTACATCATTTTTTTAACTCGTAGATTATAAACATTTAACACCCACAAAATAAACAAGTTTGATAAATTGGTTACTTAGAAAAATTAAATATTCCGTTTTTTTTCCCAAATATTGATCCAACTATGAAACTGCAATTTATGCGATAAAATAATATTTGGTAACTAAACTAGCTTATTTTTAGAAAAGATAATTTTTTCCATGTAAATATATAAGTGATACTTGGTAAACGGTAAATGTAAACATTAGAAATGTTATTTCATTTCATAATCAGTGTTACAGAAGATGATGAACAAAAGAAATTTAGATCAATTTCTATAGAATTTTTAGGTATAGAAAATTGATTCTTTTTTTATTCATTTATCTGTCTGTAAAACTTTAAAATATAGACTAAAATTACTTAATTGTATTTTCATAAACAGGTTGCTTTTAGTGATTTATGTTTTCTTTCAATTCGAATACTAATATCATGAAATGATTTCACTTGTTTCAAAGTACTATTTTATGTCTTTCAGTGATATAATCTAATCTTGTCAAGTAGAATAATATTGAAGCTTTTATCATATCTAGTATCATATAAATGGAAAGTATCAACTTATTATGTGTAATTTTTATCAAAAACTCTTTGCAAACTACAACGTTTACTGAACTATATGATAAAAAAGGAATCACACATTTTTTTATTTTATAAGCACGAACAATATCAATGCCTTCATCATTAGCATGCTGTGTTTTTCTTTGTTGACTAAATCGGTAAGACACCTGACAGATATCTCATTAGCTTATAGAACTAGAAAATCTTGTCTAAAACATTTGGTGTATAAGCTTCAGTCGTGTAACGTCAAACGGTATGAGTGACATTTTAGTTTCCTGATTGCCTAGAAAAAAATGCCACCTCGTTCACAAATGATTTTACTGAAGAAAGTTGTTCAGAACATCCGCTGAATTTCAGTACACAGGAATTACATTCTATAATTCAAGTTAGTACATTTTATATACAATATCACGTACAGAACCCTAATTTAATTCTATATCATTTCAATGCTTAGTAAAGATATCTTATAAAGTGGTTAATTAATGAAATCAAATATATGTATGTATATAAAAGAACGTCAACAAGATGGTTCACAAACTTAGTGCAAATACTCAAGTCTTCAATTATTAGGGACTTTTAAAATAATATATTTGATTTAATATAACACATATTTACAAGGTTAAAATAAAGTGTTTCAAGAAAAAAGTTATCTAATTTTAATATATTACCAAATTTCAACAAGAATAGATACAAATAGTAATTACTATCAAAATACAATTTACCTTCAAGTGATAACTTTTGAATTTGACCAAGATTATTCTTTATGTCTGTATCATCATCTTTTATGAAATCTTTGTCAACTTGTGTTTCACTAGATATCATTGTTCGATGAATATTATTATTATTAAATGTATTTTCAGTGGAACTATTATTTATCTTTGAACGTTTTATTTCGAATAATTCATTTTCTAAATCAGTTACTTTATTTTGTGACACTCTTAGACGATTATGAACTTTTTCATCTAAAACTTTGTGATGTTCAAATAAAGATTTCAATGCTTTTAAAACTTCCACTTCTGAACCTAATCCTGTCATTGAAGGACTTGTTGATCCAGTACTTGTATTCATGGAATAATTCGATGAAGAATTTAAAATATCCATTTCGGAGCACACTGTTTCACCATCAGCCATTGTACCCCCCGGAATCAATGAATTTGTACTAGTACTCATAGCCGTTGATGTATGTCGTTTCACTACAGTCATTCTAAGTGATCTCTCATGGCGAGCTACCAAATTCTCTAAGTGTTCTAAGAGAATCTACAGTTAAAACAAACGTGAAGGCAAAAGGATGCATCATCAATGTATAAGTGTACTAGTGATAAGTTTCTTCGAAACAAATTTTTTGAACATATATTTAATTATTTGGCTAATAAATTCATAGTAATCAAATACAATAGACAAACTTAAGTGTATAATTTAAATACAATACTTTATAAAACTGCAAATTATTAGCAGAAATCATCGTAAAATCAACCTTTAAACTTAGGTGGTCAAATTCCCCTATTTTACGAGTGTTAGTTAGTATCGATCAAGTATATTCGTGATACCAGTGTTCAATATGAGTTTTATGAAAATGTAATTATAAATTAACTTGTGATGCAACTAAAAAAATTCTCTGAGTTAAAACAATCAATAAAGTTGTGAAGTATTTTTGGTGTTAAGAAAATGTGAAGTAATATTTAGTAGCAATGAATGACTTTAATCAGATTTTCCAACAAGTCGTAAATATTTTAAAACAAAAATTGACCTAAATTGATTCGATTAATTTTACTACATAGTAAACGTTTTGTATTTCAATATATTTCTGTTTTCACTTGTGAAAACCAGTGATATTACTATTTTTGTGATTATATTGTAACAACATTCTTCATTGTCAAAGAGCAGATAAATAATTTTTAGTTTTACATCATGGACTAATTTTGGCAAAACAGCCTTTCTAATCCAGGAATGACTAGGTATTGTTTGGTCTTTGTAAGACACATACACATCTGCAACCTCGCATTGTGAGCAACGAGTTTAGGTAATTCGGGCTTGATATAGGCACTGCCAATCTTAAAGAGCGGTTATCGCTTGAACTCATAAACTCACTAAAGTAAGAAATAAAGACTATTAGGTTTCGGCATAGTGGCTTAAAATAAAGGTGTCCGATATTGGTTGTGAAAGTTGTTTGTTTTAACTCTGTTGAGATAAGACTACATTACTTCTGAAGAACATAGTTTTGCTAATTTGTTGAGGATTTTGATGTCAATAGTGTATTCTATCGCCTCCTTACATTTACTGACTCACAAATGAGTAGAATGTTAGCTTGACCTTTATTGCAAAAATATGACCAGAAGATTATAGAGGTCTTAGGTATTATTGTTATAATTTTGGGTTCCAAAGCATCTGCTAAGCGTTCTGTATCGATCAGATGCTGAAAGATCCTACTGATGAATGCAGTAACTCTTAAAAGTTTACAAACTCACTGAAACTGACTATTTTACTGTTTTTACGGTAGACGTATCAATGGAACACGTAAGTTTGAATGTGGTTAATTCGAGAAGGGTATTTAAATATTTCTTTGTTGTGTAATACTATTCCGAAAAAGGAAGTAAACTTTTCTGAAGGAAAGATTTTGATCAGCTTCATATTAAAACATCTCTTTTTGAAGATTTAGTTTTACATTCATGGTGTTAAGCCTAACAATAACAACAATGAATGCAAGTATACCTACCATATACTTTATTTTATCTAATAAAATTCACATAGTGGTTAAAAATGATAATTTAGAAAGATTCGTTGAATGTTGGGATACTGACTATAAACAGTTACTAAAAGAGTTTACCTCCTCAAGAAAAAAAATGTTGATAAATCGATGACCAAAAAAATTTATCTGTTTGGATTTCTATGACGATAAAGAAAAAATATATTCAAATACGAGTAACAATTTCTTTAAAAGTACACAAAAATAAGGCAATTTACCAAAAAAAGATATATAAACTTTTGCCTATTGACAAGACTGGAGGTTTATTAGATTTTACTTGCGAATAAATTTCACATGAAACAAGAAAAATCTGTTTGACTCGTTTTTGGAATGTGTCAGAATTACAGATCATGATATACTCCCATGGGGCTATTATTAATCATCCTGCAAAAACGTCCTCTTTTTGTCCCCTGACTTGGCCAGGATAAATCTGAAATAATTTTTTTGTTTGGATAACATATAAATGTACATTTGCTTTACTATCATGTACCTCTTCTTACAATGAAGTGAAAATCTACATCTACCCAGATGATCACAACTATTTTTAACATGATGCAAAAACAAATGATCTAAGAATCAATTGACTTTACCTAATTAATTTTTGACATACTTGACTTATTTCATTAGTGTAAAATTTACTATCTTTGTTTGTGATAGATATCAGTAGACAGTTTTCCCATGTGAAGTAGTCAGCTCAAATACTATTCATTAAATTAAATACTTACTGAAGTTTTGGTTTTATTTTTTGTAGCATTTTATCTACAAGATTCTCGATTGTTTTCATTTATACAAACAGTGAAGTTAGATAGCTTTATATATTTAATAAACTTCATATTTTATGACTATGTTTTTTTATTTTGTGCTATATTTGGTAAGTTTAAAATTCAGAATAATTTATTTTGTCCATTAAACGTTTATAGCTACTTGTGGTTATTTATCAATGAAATAGCTTTATTAAGTCAAAAGGCATATCACATTACTAGTAAAGGGGTTGTGGAGATTATTAAGTTTCTGATTGAGACTATGAGCCGATTGATGTTAGACCGCCTTTGGAAACCTGGAAGCACTGGACGGCCGTTTCGTCCTATTGTGGAACTGCTCAGCAGTGCGCATCCACGATCCCGCTCGCGGGATTCAAACCCAGGGCCTTCGGTCTCGAGCGCGAATGCTTAACCGACTGGACCACTGAGCCGGAATATCACATTGTTTATGTCCTTCATAATATTGTACTAATGTTAAAATGTCTATTAGGCATAAAATAATTTATAATACTTTTCATTTATTGAGTCAATATAATTTAAATTCATTTCTCTTTGTTGGAGAAGTATTTCGACAGTTTAAAAAATCCAATAGAAGACTCAAAAATGAAGAATATTTGAGCAAACAATTGTTTTCAGTAATTTCATCATCAGGCTCTACAGTTATAAGTCCGTAATTATTGTAATATTTTACATAGGCTAAATTAAAGCAATGTATTATAATAAATTTGACAATGTTATATGATAAAAATGGTGAACGTTTGCATCTGTTCGTGAACATGTATCAGGATGGTTTGGAAAAGAAGTTACTAAATCGATCAACAGCACTATTCATCCTCACTTAGTAGATAGTGATTATCATATCAAAATAGAGGAAGCGTTCTCCGTCTTATATTAATTTCCAGAAAATCTACCTGAGGAAGCTGGATTACGGTTACTCTACATGGTTGAAGCCATCTGGATCAACTCCAGAAAATCTAACATATATCCAGGGAATGTATATCTAGCCTCTATGTTTACCTTGGCCTACGACTGGATCACCGAATAACTAAACTGAGTATTATAAACCTCTTACTCTCTTCCCATATTTTTATCGTAATTATATTGATAACACCCCTCATATTACGTATGGTAAGCACACAAAAATATTATTTTTACTATCTCTATTATCATTATTATCTCAATTGACAAGATGAAATTCCCCTATGTATTTTCTTTAAACGAGTTTTTGCATTTTTGCTATATTACTGTGATAAGGATTGTGACTGGACACTACTCCAAACCAATATGACCTTTATTAAATGATCTTTTTAATTTGCAAATAACACAATTTTGAAGTATATATGTCGTAACAGATGTAAACATTCACCATTTTTTACATGTAACATTGTCAAATTTATTAATACATTGCCTTAATTTGACCTATGTAAAAAATCACAATTATCATTTCAACATAATAAATACATTGTTGGGGTTTCTAAATCTCAATTAGAGGGTTTGATAACTCCATTTAAAGTGTTATAACATCGTTTAATAACACTAAAACATCAAGCATATGAGATATTTATTCCATAGTGTTAGTGAAAACAGATAGCAAGCTTCATTTTTCCGACCATCTGTAAACACTTGATTTCTAAATTTTGATTAATACATAGGTTTACTCAATAGATACCTGAAGCATTTGATATCACCTCTGAATAGACTTTAAGTAGCCTTTACTAACAGTACAAAATTCATGAACAACATATTCTCAGTACAGATATTCGATTGACCTGATAATCATTATGTAAAGTAAATTAACATACAAATTAATTAATCCACCACTACAGTAATTTAATGGAATTATCAGTACAGGTCTGTGGAGATTGTTGACTTTAGATTGGTGCAATCAACGGATCAATGTTAGACCACAACTGAAAACCTAGGAGCACTGGATTCCTGTTTCGTCCTAGTATGGGAGTCCTCAGCAGTGCGCGTCCACGATCCCGCACATGGGACTCAAACCCAGTACCTTCAGCCTCTCAATAAGAAGCTTGAGAATAGTAGAAAAATATGGCGTTGTTCCAGACCACATTAACGAATCATATTGATGACTAATTATTAAATCGAATTGAAAATATTTAACGCACATAATAAGTATGAATGTTAGATTAAAAGTCAACGATTCATATACATTGTAATACAGTCTGTTTACTATACAGTAATATCTTTAGTTTAATTATAATTCTACTATTTGGGAAATGCATTTATAACTTTGACTGATCTTCCTAAAACAATGAAAAAGTACTTGAAGAATATAAATCGTCTTTTATTTTTATTTCGAAAAAAATTCAGTGAAAAAGCTATGGTATAAACATTTAGCTTATAAATAAATATACTTGGCTTTATTTTAATCAAACAAAACTTTCCAAAGGAGAACATTTTCCTTTCATTTTGATGTTTAAAACTTATTTTTGTTTATGCCGCAAAACGTTTCTGTGCCATGAAATTAATAATAATAATAATAATAAATTATATAAGTTACATTAAACACATTTATTCGCTAAGTAGAAGAGATTAAATGTTTACAATGTTATACTTATCCAGATCTTCTGTTTAATTTCAATTTTAAAAACCATAAACATAAAGGTGTTAGACTAAAAATACAAGATTGGGATGTTTTGTGTTTATCAATGATATTAAAATCATAAAAAAATATTTTTATTATTCTACTTTTTTTTCTTATTTCGATAAATGCTCAATATTCAATTTGTTTGTTTGTTTTTTTCCTTTATTGTAATAAATGTCTTAAATTTTATTCTTCAAAACTAAATAAAATCAAGAAAAACATTAATAGAAGCTAAAAATTGATCAAGAGATATTTTTACTTCGAGTTGTGTTTCACTTTATCAAGATGTTTGAAATTCATATCAATTAAAACATACAAAGATGGGTAGTGGCTAGCAGTAGAATTTGGGACGCGCGCTGACGAGTCCCAAATAGGATGAAACGCGCATTCCGGATTCCACTGCTAGCCACTATCCATCTTTGCTTATTAAAGCTTGTGAATTAAGGCAATATCGAGGTATACGCACAGTATGCACATATCCCAATAACAGACTGTATATTTGCAGTCTTAAACCTCAATCGGAAAATACAAGCATCACAATACCAAGTGAATTAAAGCATACGTTTACACTACTAACATATGCAATGTTATGAAGCTTATAAAAATGGTTATCAAAAGAGTCTAGAAGATGGATTAGTGTAGTTTTATAAATTAAGCTGTTGAATATAAACGTTATTTTGAAATCTTAACAGTTAGGTGATTGTTAAACCAACTCTAAATGAAATGCCTTACATTACTGACTGATTGTTAAAAATCCTTAAAGCGTTAAATAATTAAGTTTCCTTAAGTAATGTACACTTATGCATCCACTAGGTATCGATATTATGTTGGATTATATGATTTTTGTGAGTTCAACACATGCAATGTTCATGAGTGGGTACTGATAAAATATCTAATATTGAGAAAAAACCAGTTAATCGATTATTTTTGGTTTCCACTGAAACGTCACAAAATTTCTAACGAAATTGAACGAAGTTTATTAATGCAAGAGGCTTATGGGAGAGTGTTAAATTAAATCATTCATATCACGAACTGAATATAGGTGGAAAGCTACTTTTCCTTAGTATTGACTTCGTAGCATTGTGCATCTATGAAGCACCCAAGATCGAATAAGAATCATCAGACATTCCAGAATATAGCCTTTATATCACTAAGATGACATTCAATGGTTTACATTTACAACATCAGTTAACTGAGTAGCCATCTCCTGATGTAGATGATGAGTAACTGCTTCACACAACAAGGTTGATTTTAACTGACCCAGTCCTTTTACCAGAACCCCAGGAATTACCTCTCGATTAACAAACCAAATTAAAAATTATCTTGATTAGCTTATCATAATTCCTACTTATTGTATAGTTCTAAACGTAATCGGTATTTATGAGTTAGTTATAACCACCGAAATAAAAAAAAATTTGAACGAAACTAAGAACTCAGGTCCAGATAATTATTCGACTTCAAATAAATATTTTTAATGAATGATTTCATATTCTTGATATGAACAATCAAATAAAACGTTATAGGATCTTATTTAAAAGTTGTTTTTGAATTACTTGTGGTCTAAAAGGAGAGTGCTTCTAATGCCTTTATTCAGTAGTGTCTTTATAAAATTTCATAACAATGACAGTTAAATATTCTGATTTTTTACTCTAATCGATTTATTTAGCAGACAGCTTATGATTTATGCGATACTTTACAACTTTCAAATGAGTTTAAGAACTTTCAATGAAATTTGCTTTTGTAATTTTGATACAATAGAAACGTTTATTTATATCATTGTCAACTGGAATCACTCACAATCACAGTTTTTCATTTAGAAGTCAATAATTTGACAATCGCAGGTATGAGCCATACTGTAGATCAAATTTCTAAAGTATTCAGTAACACAACTCTTAAAAACTAATAGGTCAGAAGATTTATTATTATTAAAAAAATATGTTTAATGGGTGTATTCCGATCTTCAGATGTTAGTGGCTACGGTTTGATTATGTTTACAATTTAAGCACTGAAACATGTTATTAATCTGACATATAACAAAATTCTGAGATTATATCTCCATTTTATCCCTCATTTACGGTTAACATTATTTAGTAATGTATCTTAGTTTGAATATGAATGTATGGCAAATTTATTACAACATAAACTTGTTATCTTTGATTGTAGACAATTACATTTCGAAATCAGTCAATTTACTTCTTTACTTTAAATGAATTAAACAATACAGAATACCTTATTATTTCTAGCATTGAAACCATCTTCAATTTTTGTCGTAAAAAATACAATTTGATTAACGTAAACTTATGAATAAAACTATTACAGTAAATATAATTTTAATTATTAAAATAAATTTCAACAAGAAAAAAAATTCTTTTCAAGTATTCAATTTATCAGAATGGGAATTTTAGGAAGATTGTCATAATTTTAATAGTTGAATTTATGCTTTAATATAAGCTAGACTTACTTTCATATTGTTTCGTTCAGCTTTCAAATCATCGATTTCATCACATCTTTCAATTAATTGCTCTTCAACTTCTGTTAGTTTTTTTGACATTTCCACAACATCCTAAATGAAATAACCAAAAGGTAATTTTAATAGAAAAACAAGAAAAGAAAATTGTTTTAAAGAATAACATTACTTTTCTATCCAGACATAATTATAATAGTTTCCATTATATATATCATGAATTTAACAAATTAGTTGTGCAGAAATAAAAATAAACATTTTTAAAAGCATTCATATTACTAATAAGTAATTAATCTTAAAATGAAAACAGAAAATTTAACCAGTTATTGTTAATTTCAATTTAATGCAAGTCTATCACTAAATATTTGCGAGTATATGGTTTAAATAGTTTTACTTCCTAACAATTTAGAAACTTTTTTCCTTAGACGTAGATTAAGAAAACATGTTAAGGTCTGTTTGTGATGAATAATGTCATCAAAGTGGCCTAATCTACACTGTTATCTCAATAATGAATCATGTGCTCACTACTGACCGGCATTCCAAAGTTGCATTGGGTTATTACTGCTGAATTTCATTCATGTTGACTCTGAGACTCATTCATTAATGAATTGGATAATTTTACTGTTTCGAAAACTGATTAAAGCTGGAAATGTGAACTACTAGATTCAAATCCAATGGTTTGAATGTAACACCAGATCCAGATTTCCTGGTTTCGGTTCCTGTTTTGACTATACTAGAACAAAACGATAATTAAATGGTTCATGACTCCCACTTGTCTTCTAGTTGATCTCAATTGATGGCTAGAAGTATTTATAGAAAAGTTATTCTTACAATGACTAACCTTATGGGTTAAAACTAGTTTAATACTATAAAGTTACGGAATTAAAACGATCAAATACTCGATTTTCAAACTGATTTCCACAACCGAATCTCAAGATCAGTCATCTGACACTTAATTCATTGATCGGGGACTCGACACCTTTTAACTCGTGAATTTAATATAAAATAGTCTAATCACCAATTAAATTTAACATACGTTGCAATCACTGAATACCTAAAGGCCTTTATTTCAGACACACTTGCCATAAATCAGTGTTTAAGGCAACCAACTAACTGAGTATTCAATAAGCTTCACATCTCATTATGTTTGAATTCTTTTCGCTAACTTAATCAACCACTCTAACAAACGTTTCAGAACATCATACTTAGAGAACTATTCATTTCTCGCATAGAATTCCCAAGTTCATTACTTCCTAATTAGATTAGTTAATAGATCAACAAAATGTATTTATTAAAACATTCAATGTTTACTATAGAACACCGTTTTCAACATAGTTTAATGCTTTAACTAAAATCTCCTGACGTTTTAATAGATGAAACTTTGATAGCAGTAATATCTGTCAAATGTTTTATATTTCAGTTAAAATTATGCATAAACATTGTATACACTTTTTAATTACGGCTAATAAATGAAAAATATTTATATTTTGATTAGAATTAGATGGTATAAGTACATAACCGTAATCTCAAACTTTTATACAGTTTCATTTATTAGCGTTTCATTTAAAATTAAATATCTATCATCACAGTTTGACACTGAGCATTGATATTTGAACAATTGAATGTTTCCAGGTCATATTGAAAACTATAATGGCGAAACGTTATACAGTTATGTAATTTATCAGCCTTGTTACACAAAACACTGTTAGTTAAAAAGAAATGTATTAATTTTCAGTTCTATCATTCTGAAGCCCTTGGAAACTGGAATAAAATTGAACATTGTGGAATAGTATTATATTGGCTTCTTATATCCTTGTTAGTTATAATTATACAGTGTTGATATTCTTAACCAAAATGTTAGTTTTACGTAAACTTTATTGATACAATATTTACATTACTGTTCTTAACTCAAAAAATACATCGAAACAATATGAAACTTTTTAGGATTTATAAATTTATTATTGTTGTTACATGGTTTAACAGAGCATTAATAAATTAAAATAAATCAACCTAATCAAAATTAGAAGATATACTAAGTTATTTCATGTTAAATAGTTTTTACTAAGACAGACAATTTCATTATAAGATCAATTAATTGAAAATTAAGTATGAGGTGCAATGTTTTTAGAAAACAATAGAAAATGTTACTTCAAATCAATAATGCAAGAAAGATCGGTGGAACACAGTGTACTCTTTTCTACAGATTCATTCTCAAAACTAAAGAAGATATGGTGAGCAAGGACTTAACTGATTGTAGTATGAGTAACATACGATAATAATTAATTTATTCAATAGTCTATAACATGTAAACACATATTAAAAAGTAATCATATTTGTTATATCTATGATAAACCGTTAATTTTATTAAATTACACATCTATGATTATTTTGTAACTTATTTATCAAATGATTTTAGGTATTGCACAATTTCAGTTATATAAATTTGAATGTTAATTTGAGTGTAAATAAATCATGTAAAAAGTAGTGAATCCAAAATTCATTTCAAATTATTTTGGTGATAAAAAAAATTCATGTTCATCATTTTCGTGTTCTTACATGGGTCATACGATTTATGATGTTCAGTAGCAAATACCAAGTCGGTTAACTTTTCCGTATATTCAACAGTATAGTCACAAATATAAAATTTTTTCAACAACAAATAATTATGAGTTTGTTAAGGATAACAGTTTACTGAGCATTGCTACGAAACCACGGAAAAAAGTCATTCTCATCAAGAGACTTAAAATATTGTCTTTAAAATCTTGCATATTCATCAAGAATATCTTAAACTTTATGTAAAGAGTAATAACCATTAAAAAGGTTTGGGCAACATGACAAGATAAACTGTTAAAACCAATATATAAAGAAAGAGTATATATGCAATTGTACAGTTTTAACAAAATATCCACTGAAAAGATTATTCACCCTAAATAACTTTCTTGTTAGTTCTTTGATTGTTATCTTGAGTAACTAAGGTTTGAATCCTACGGGAAGTATTACTGCCCTCGGAACTACGCATATTCCCTACTGAAAGAATACCAACCAGCACAAAACCTAGGTTAACAGCGCTGAAAATAACCACCAATAACTTAACACAGTAGACATCATTTACTGAACATTTGGACTTTTTCCAAGCAAATATATGTAATCAATCTATATCTAATGATGTTAAAAAGCATTAAAATAAAAGTGATTGAAAAAGATCTTATTTTTCATGCTGATTAGTTACTATATTTCATGAAATATTTTTAAAGAAGAATTGTTTCCTATAAAATCACTTTAAAGATATTTGATCACAAATATCTTTACTTTGAGTATATATTAAATGCCGCGTAAGATATAAGAAAAAGAATGATTAAACATGTACTTTGTATGTTCTCAAAAATTACATTTATCTGTTACATTCATCTGTTTACTATTTAGTGACAATCTAACTAGGAGAAACAATTACTTTTTTTAATGCAAATAGCTCAGATAAATGTTCACTTATCTTTAATTCAAATTCAACTGAATTTATACCATATGTTTAAGTTTAATACATAGTAAATAATTATTTCTTTATAGATTAAAATGATTCAATTCATATCATATTTCAAAGAAATAAATGATAAAATATTAAGTGCCGTTTTTTGATAGGATGATCATAATAACAATAATAAATATTCATAATTAATGGTACAATAAAATTGGAAATTCTTTCCTTTTTTCACATGTTTATGTCGATATTATCTCCATATGACAATCAGTAGAATTATGATTATTAGTTTGATTGTTGAGAAGGTTTTAACCAGAGTATCATATATCGTTTGTTTTTAACGGTTTTTCTTTTCAATAGGCGCTAGTCCATAGTAAAACTAATTACAAATTATCGAAATTCATGATTCTAACATGTTTTAAAACATTTCTTGTCTTAACACTATAAATATATATATATATATATATATATATTATGTTGAAAAAAGAATTGTGTCAGATACGACTCACCTTCATAACCATCAACTTTCGTGGATAGTTTCTTTTCCTGAAAAAAATCTATCCATCTGTGATTTTGTGAGTTCTATATGGCTTTAATTTATTTATGGTTTTAGTTTGTTCAGCTAAACAATTTATTTAAATTATGATACAATTGTAGAATGCCCTTCATATTATTTAACAAAAATATAACCTACAAATAACCGAGAAAAATAATCTTTCTGATGAATTTCATTTAAAGTTTGCTGTATGGCATTTCATCTAATATCATTTACACAATAAGCTATGTTTTTTCCAGTTCAAAATGAATCTGATTATATTATATTATATTACATATTATATTATAGTATATTATATATATATATATTATATTATATTATATTATATTATATTATATTATATTATATTATATTATATTATATTATATTATATTACATATATTCTTGGACGTGTGATGGCAAAAGGATCAACATCAGTAACATAGAGCTTAGTACAAACATGTATCTATCTTATAATTACTAAACAATATTTCAAGTGAGAAGGAAACTAGAGATAATTTTAATTGCTTCAGCGGTAAACCAACTCCATAATATGTTATTTCAAAATAAATATGATGAAATGAAAAACTCAAAAAACATGAATACATCTTCAAAGTTATTGATTTCTGATCATATATAATTAACTGTTTAACTACAAAATTAACATTACTTTAAGAGCATCAAATAAGAAGTTTGTACCTCTGCACTGTTTATATCAACAATCAGTAACTTTACTAATTGACGATATTTTTAAACTAAGTCACCTCTGCCCCAATGAATATAGTCCTTCAGTGTGGAAGATGTTGAGTCATGTGCAAAATTTGTTCCATCCACCTCAGTCAATTTCATATCTTCATTAACTGAAATACAACCTCTTACCTAATACTTTTTGATCTACGATAACACGGATCACTAGATAATTCTAACGTAAAGAAGTCATTCCAGTGATGACTATAACTATATGAATACATCTTATACATATATTCTACTTAGGATGGCCCTATTTCACTCATGTGAAGAAATAGAGACTAAACTTCCTCAGACTATAAACGTTCCTTTATCAGAAATATATATGAATGTTTAAAAATGTTAATCGGAGTTTTCGGTTTGACAGTTACATGTTAAGCAGTTAACAAGCAAGAGATATAATAATGTTACCAGATAATTAATATATATATATATATATATATATAAACAACCAGTAAAGCTAAACTGCATTTCATTCGTTTTCATTAAGATTAGGTAGGACCTAATCTAGAAACTCTCAGATGAATATCATTTGCTTGTAATTAATTTAGATTGGAATTTTAGTTCACTTATCTTTATATATTTCTTGAATTGAGCAAACTAGAAAAGAAACTTTAAAATTTATGAACAATATATAAAAAAGGGTAACCCAAACGTATTCACAGAGGGCAATCTTATCTATTAACTAATGTTGTCATTTTATTTCATAAGCATTGCTTTAATGGCATTCATTTAGGGAATTCAATTCAATTCAACCTCTCTTTATGATCTAGTTGATATAAATAGTAGAACCACTAAAGTCATTAAGATATGAATATCTGTGGGACTCAGACTTAAGATTTTCCTAGTTTTACACTATCCAAGTGTGTACTTTGGGTGGGTTTAAGATCACTTTCACTTGTTCCATAATAATATTTTGGCGTTGTTCTAATCCAATCCTGTTAATTACAAGAAAAGCTCTGTTACTGACAATATGGATCGGTATTGACATGAGCGCGGCATTTGAACGGGTCAGTATCGCTTAAAAATAAATCTAAAATAGCTGGCTTTCACTGATTTATCAGTATGTTTCTCGTCACTGAACAAGATGAAAGTCTTATCAATCTGTAATACAAGCACAAACAAATCAACGAAGCAATAATACGTGATTACTTCTTAAATATTGTTTCTTTCTAAAGTCATGATCAAATTATATAGATGTTTCCAAATAGTTCAATGCTTAGGTTCATCTTTATGATTTTTGATGGACCTAGTTCAAATTTTCAGGGTAACAAAAGTTCAATAACACTTAAGTTATATTTTACTAATAAGCATTTCAGTTTACTAGTCCTGGACCAATAATATAATACTAAGTAATCAGGAAAACCTAATAAATGGTGTTATGTCCTATTATTTAAGTCACTATGCCCATGAATTCTGACTACAGATTACATACAACACAATAGTTATGAAATTTTGACTGACATTTAAATAATTGTTCTCCTAATTGCTTTTTTTGTTAATGGTGAGAATTCCGAAGTAAACGATTTGATAAACATAAATAATTAAAACTGACATTTTGACTGAAACAGTTCAATATAATTCGTCTACTATTTTATTTGTCTGACTTTCCAAAGTTATAATTTATTTTTTACAAAACAATGTTTAGCTGTTAACTTTTCTTGTAATTGTTGTTTAAACACATCCATATTATTAGCTAAAAGGATTTTACTGACTGATTTTATCCTTATAAAAAGTTAGTAGTAAAGACATTTAAACGAACGTCTGTAACCGTTCTTAGTTCAGTATAAATGAAAGCCAACCATAATCTACTGTTGGAGTGAACATACTTGAGGCATTTTAGCTGACAACTGTGCATGAAGTTTATCACGTTCTCTTTCAACTTCGTTCAATCGAGTTCTTGTTTCGTTTACTTGTTCCTGTGATTCACGCAATCCTTCCATCAATCTGTCACGTTCATCCAACATGCTAAGTAACATATCTTCAACATTCGTACCATCTGCACTAACCAGTGAATCTCGATCACCCTGTAAACATGTTAAAATAATCATTTTAGATAATGATAACAGTGGTAATGCTCCATTCTTTGGTAAACATTTCTATTTAAGTAATTTCATATTTCAGCAAAAGTCCAGTTCTCGACTTTATCTCATTTTTATTTAGCTCTGATAAATTGAAAGACATAATGCTAAATTTATTTGCTGACCGGATTTTGAAAACAAGCTGTTAGTCATTTTCAACAGTCATGTATTATGTGAAAATTTAAGTTGTATCCCGATGAAAATCAGGATTAGATAAAACTACGTAAAGGAATAATTTGGACCTATTTAAATAAAGAATTTTGATAGTGTAATAAGAAGACAAAAAGTATCAGCACTATCTGATGCATTAGCACATAGTTCTGGTAATCTTTGTCGTCTTAGTACACTACCAAGTTTATCATAGGGACTAATAATTTCAAACGGAGAATGTTGTTAGACGAAGTATTTTTAGATTTACGCTACTAAGACAAGACTAATTTCATAACTTTCAACTCCCGATAAACAAGCTTTAATTTCTCTAAAATATCTATAAAGTTTGAGCATTTTTGTGTCTCAATTGAATACCTACAACAATCCATCCTGTGACGAGCCAAAAGATTGGAAAACACCAATCTTTCTATTCAGCAAAATTAATATTTTTATGATCACTCGTACTAAGTTCCCAAACTTTTATAAATTCTGTATTCTGTATACCGTAGCACATACTTTTACAACCGTTATTGATGTATCTCTTCCTACTTTCCTGTTTTTCAATAGGTTGTCTCGTTTAACAGCGTCTTTTGGATACAATTTTTCCACAAACTTATGGAAACAGCTGAATATGAAAGAAAAATGATCATTACGTATAGTAATCACGGGTCTTCGTATAAGTTCAACATATTATAGTCGTGTTCTCCACAATATGTACCCTCATACATTATATTGTTATATATAATTTGACAGTTTTATTTACTAGATAAATAGATAAAATGAAATGCTTGGACCAAATTTCTGTTAAGAGGAACTGAATAACAGCTTTTCTTTAAAACCACGTTTTATACTGTACTGAACGAGAACACAAGAGGGGGCAATCGGGTGCTTGTAAACACAAAATTACAGAACATCTTACTAAAATCTGAGAACCATACAGTGAACACTTAATTTGCAAAACGTCAATCACTGGTCTCAAACATGACTGTTCCTTTAGTAAATATCAGCCAATCGTCTCAGACTTCAAAGTTTCTTTATTTCCATACCAATTGCTTTCCGTTCCTGTTCTTTCCTCCTCGATCTTCTTGACCTTCTGCTGTCAGACATTCTATTCCTGACTGGCGTTGTATACTACTTATATCGATATAAGTAGCACATGCCACAATATTAGTCAATTAGTGATAAATAACCAATATCATATTGTTTATTTATTTATGTTAGCTACACTATATTAAATAGTTTTTGTAGTTTTATTAACCAAGCTATGGAACTAGAAATCTGTATGGTGTTAATCAACAGTGATTATTAAAAACAGGACAGAAAACTCTTAGCAGATCCTCTGAGTTATTGAGTCTAATCTTTTTAAAATTCACTTGAGTACCTAGTAGCTTAGCTACAATATTAGTTGAAGTATGTTATCAAGGCCATTTTCGTTGATACTACAAATGCTCCTTGTTAATGACTAATATATATTTCTGCTTATGGGTTTCAAATATCAAAGACCAAACCATACTTATTCGTAGGGACTTTTGTAGTCACTTTTAGTTTCTACGTCAATATAACTCTATCAGCTTATCCACGGGTCGGAAAAAATTATTGTCACTGAAAAATTTACGCACTTTTGAATACTCAGTTTCTTATTTTTTTCAAACCTTTCGTATACATATTACATGTACAGTCTAATAAAAGATTTGCATGATTTTCTTAAAATTAAATAAGTTAGTTTTCTAAGTATTTCAATACTCATCAGGGGGTAGCCTGATTATGCATAATTCAAGTTCAAATATCATGTCAACTATTAAGTCATGTGACAAATAAATAAGTAACTAAACAAATAGATAGACAATGGATTTGTATATACAAATGATTTCAAGTTTACCTGAGATCCAATATCTTCGTTAATTGTTGGCATAACATCACAGATCATTTTTCTTTATAGTACAGTTGGTGAAAACAGTTAAAGTTTATCACATCTATGAGTATATAAGGAAAAACAGATAGATGGTATGAAAAATGTTTCAGAAAAAACATAAATAAAAGATCACAAAATATACCGGCCATATTACTTACCAAAAGTAACATTGAATATATTGATGTTTGTATAACCAACAATCTACTCAATAAAAAAGACAAATATAGCTAGTGATATCTAATACTCACGTGTGGTGGCTAAAGTGTTGAATATATAATAAATACTAAGGTGGATCTTCCACTTGTGACATCGATTTACAAAGCCATTAAGACTCAATATACATGTTCCGTATTGTAAAACGTCGCATCTGATTATACATTACTTACTTACTTACTTACTCCTGTTACTCCCAAATGGAGCATAGGCCGCCCACCAGCATTCTTCAACCCACTCTGTCCTGGGCCTTCCTTTCCAGTTCTATCCAATTCTTGTTCATTTTTCTGATGTCTATCTCCATTTCTCGGCGTAATGTGTTCTTTGGTCTTCCTCTTTCCCTTTGGCCTTGTGGGTTTCATGTGAGGGCTTGTCTTACGACGCAGTTGGGTGCTTTCCTCAATGTGTGTCCTATCCACTTCCAGCGCTTCTTCCTGACTTCTTCCTCCGCCGAAATCTGCTTTGTTCTCTCCAATAGCAGGTTGTTGCTAATAGTGTCCGGTCAACGGATCCGAAGTATTTTGCGTAGACAACTGTTAATAAACACCTGTATTTTCTGGATGATGGCTTACATAGTTCTCCAGGTTTCTGTCCCATACAGTAGAACTGTCTTGACATTTGTATTGAAAATCCTGACCTTGGTGTTGGTTGACAGTTGCTTCGAGTTCCAGATGTTCCTCAGTTGTAAATATGCTGCTCTTGCTTTGCCGATCCGCGTCTTCACATTTGCATCAGATCCACCCTGTTCATCAATGATGCTGCCCAAATATGTAAAGGTTTTTACATCTTCAAAAGCTTCTCCGTCAATTGTGATTGGATTGGTGCATGCTGTGTTGTATCGGAGAATCTTGCTTTTCCGTTTGTGTATATTGAGACCTACTGCTGCTGAGGCTGCTGCTACACTGGTCGTTTTCTCCTGCATTTGTTGTTGCGTTTGGGATAGAAGGACCAGATCATCTGCGAAGTCTAGATCGTCCAACTGCATCCTGGATGTCCATTGTATCCCGTGCTTCCCCTCAGATGTTGACGTCTTTATGATCCAGTCGATCACCAGGAGAAAGAGAAAGGGTGAGAGTAAGCAACCTTGCCTGACACCGGTCTTTACTTCGAACGAGTCTGTCAGCTGTCCTCCATGCACGATTTTTCAGTTTAATCCATCGTAGGGATTCTGTATGATATTAAATATCTCAGACACGCCGTAGTGTCGAAGAAGCTTCCATAGTGTTGTTCTGTCCACGCTATCAAAGGTGAGAAGAAATTTCTCTGGAGTCACTTTAATTCGGCATGTTGGTTTTAGAGACACGAAAAGCTTTACAGCTCATCTTCATTACCAATAGATTAGACTTTAAGGAATGTAAAACGTAAGTTCATTGACGAAAAGGCGATAAACCCTATAGTTGAAGTATAAGTTCTAGACGCTAATTTTTTCCACTACATAAAAGTGAACCGTCATATTTGATCAACAATAAACAGCCAAGATAGCAAGAAAGTGTACCCTGTGAATGTCATTCGGTATTGAACTGAGAAACCAATGCACTTGAAATCCATCAGAGAGTACCAATAAAATAATTCTCAAACGTATTTTGAAAATATGAGCTGTTTTTTCACTTATTTTGCTTCTGTAGGTAAGAAGCTAGTAAGCATACAATTATAGATACATTTAGGTCAAAACTATTGAAATTGGAAACACAAGACAAGAATGTTTATGTGTTACGTTGCGAACCATACATGAGGTTTAGTGAAATTAGGGTTTGCATTTTCTTTCAAGAAGGTAAGTTACGAAAATCATCTGAGTGTGGAAATGAAACCCCAGAAAGATAGATTTATGAAATATAAATAAATCAGGTTTTTGCTTTGCATACTACCTACATATTTGTCTGTTACCATATGTGCATTTGAATAAATGCTACTGCAACAGTACAAAATTGCCACAACACTTAGCCGTTCAATAAACGTTTATATAATACAGTTAAATCCTATTACCGGGTTTATTATTTTTCTGACTATAGGTTATCAAAATTAAGCTGTAACGTAATAAGTGTTTCACAACTCTTTATGCTATATATTATAACTAAAATGCCAAAAGGCTGTAACTCCATTAAAGAGATGCTTCTTTCAATTAGTCACATAGATTCAAGGACTTGTTAAATAGCTACCTAATTATTTAAACCAGAAGGCTTGTATTAAACTGTGATTGTTTAAGAACATTTTGGTCCAGCTGACTTTTCAAGATTCAGATTAATTAGAGACGTAAGTTTATACTCTTCGAAAATGGCCCGTATTTTTATAGGATGCTTGACTTACTTAACTTCTTTTACATATGGATGTGGAATACGGATTAGTTAGGACCATTTCACTACACAATCAATCCGATAAGTATATGCTGACTAAATAAAAACGCGTGGAAACTAGACATAAAAAGTGACGAAACTCTTAAGGCATTCTAAAGTTTATTTAGGAGACGACTTAAGGACAATTAGACATTATTTTTGTGCAGTATTTGTGTTGATCTGGAAATACCTCTTACATGCTCGACCTCACTATTCACATTTAAAACTTTTCTACCATATGTCTTCTTGCATTTCGCCACTTAGAGTTACAGTCTATTCATAGCGTCTAGTTTTTCAAAAACAATCTGGAAGTTCCTATTTTTTTCAGCTACAGACAACGCTAACTCATATATACTATTGTTGCTTGCTTGTGAACAAGAAATCAATTGTTTGATTAAGTATCACTTTCACGTATGAAAAAACACCGACAAGAAGTTAAAATAACAAGATAAACAACATTTTTAAGAATAAAAGGTAGGTTTTATATCTTTTGACATTCTGGCTTGTCAGACGGACCTACAAGATATCCTAAAAAGTAACCATGAAACGGAATCAGAAAAAGATTGTAAAACTTATAATTTCTCGACGTGAATGTTGTTCGGTTTACGCTAAGCCATAAATGAAACTAGATCGTAGTTAGATGCTTTCAGTTTTTTTGAAAGATGTAATGCGCTCCAGCCAAACTTTTCTGTTCAAAATAAAGTTACACAAATTTTCACACAAACTTTACTTTTTTCAGATCATTTGACGTCTAAATTGATAACGAAAGAGCACCCATAAAACATATTCTATCACTTATACAGTCTAGTAAGAGTTCAAACATTATAGTAAAGACCACGAAGATACGCTTCAATTACTTCACAAAACAACTGAAATGATATCAGGCCAACACTTCATTGGTCGATCTAAGCACAAAAACAGAATACTACAACTATATATACTAAAAAGAAAGCACGTTACACAGATTGTTAAATACGAATAGCTCAGTACATAAAACCCGACTGGGAGGTTCAAAGATTGTTTATTGATTGCCTTGGTATTGTAATTGGAATAAAAACCTGTGAAAAGGATTGCACATCAAGTCTCGGTTCTTCCATTTTAATTTACCTATCCGCACTAATATCCCACCTAATTTCGGTCAGAAAGATAAACAGTATACATCAAACATGACATTCATCCATTCAAAACTAATTGATACGCGCAACAATGCGTGATAAATGTTGCTAAAAAAATCTGGATAACGTACGATCACCATTTCGTTGATTATTAAAAGTCCGCTAGAAAACAAAATCGACTGTCATCAAAGGTTAGCATATTAAAACAACCACTGAGTCATTACTTTAGGTAGAAGTATCTCTTTCACAGATTGTGTGCACTTCACAAGCAATTTAATTCCACCATTTGCCCATAATAAATATATATTAATAAGTTTTCCACAACCAAAACCTAAAAAAATATAAAACAACTGAAATACTTCAAATGGTTCAAATGGTTGTGGACGGAATAGAAGAAGCTTTCGCTTAACAGGCTTCCGTGTCTAGTAGCAGGGGATCACCAAATCCTCCAGGCAGGAACCTAGGTATGTTAACAATAAAAGAGGAAAAGAAATTGGTAAATCATAGTGCGATGCTGTCCTTGGTCCTTAAGAATAGGTCAAGTTGCCTCTTGAAGGACTCCTGAGAAGTCGCTTGGACTAGCTCGGCCGGCAGCGAGTTCCAGCTTTTGACAACTCTTAAGGAGTAGAAGTTGTGTCTACATTCCGTCTTGCTATGTTGTGTTTCCAGTTTCTGGGTGTTACCCCTTAGGTTATTGTTCGAACTAAGCTTAAGTAGGTGTTTAAGAGGATGTCCAGAAGTGTTAAGAATACTATAAGCCATTAATAAATCACCTCTAAGACGCCTATATTCTAGTGGGTAAAGGTCTAGTGAACGGAGGCGTTCTTCGTAAGGCTTAGATTTGAGTCCTCGAACTGATTTCGTGGCTCGCCGTTGGATACGCTGTTTGTGCCTACATAATAGTGAATAGTTCAGTCAGTGAAAGTGACTTACTGCACTGTATTCCTACTCTGATAGCTTTCAAAATCGCAGCATGGATTGTAAGTGTAGCGACAAATAAATCACCAAAATCAATAGCTCTGTAAGTCTTCGACATTGGATGCTGACCACATTAGTTTTAATGGACTCGCCTAGCTGAAGGCTCTCGGAAATACATCCGCACCAAATCACGAGTGAGAACGCCGAGCTCAACATTTCCTGCAATCACTACTCAGTTTAGATCAGTCGATTCTCTATGTATTGATAGCCTATCGAATATATCTTCGAACCTCCTCGCTTCTGTCTTTTGATTTCACTTGTTTGTACGGTTCATAGTAGGAGGTATTACTGGTTAAAGCGTTGTCAAACTTCAAATATCTATGATATCTTTATTGGTGAGCCCGACGTCATCTGGCACACCAACTTGCAAACTGTGAGTCTGTTCGTTTTTGGGATTTTGTGTGCCATTGCTTTATTTCAATTTTTATATATTGTGATATATTTTTCCCGTGTTTTTGGATATATATCTTTTCCTTGTTTATTCTTGTACTTGATATTTCGCAATGACGGAACAGACACCTAAGGTACTTAAGTTAAGTACTATGTCCCCACCTTCGTTTCAACTGATGCCCTTCTGGCCAGACAACATAGAAGCCTGGTTCTGCTACACAAAGGCTGACTTCCACGAGCACGGCGTGCATAATTCCACGCAGTAGTAAAGACACTACCTCGCGAATTCAACAGGTACATAACACCTAGTATGATTACCAGTGATGTTTCGGAACCCTACGAAATACGTAAAAGATCTGTCCTTAAACGCGGAGATCTAACCGATCGACAAAGTTTAGAGCAACTCCTTGATAATATCGACCTGCAATACGGTTCAGCGACAGACATGTTGCAAAGAATGAGAGAGCTTATAGGCCGGCGAACCTTCGATGATGGCCTATTCAGACAAATTTTATCTAAACTTCCTGAATAGGTGCAAGCTGTGCTGGTCTCGTTTCAAAACAATGCCTTGAACGAGCTGGCTGCATCTGCCAACCGCATCTTAGAAATCACGAAATCTTCTAATGCCGAGGTTTTTTCAAGCAAAGAAAAGCCTCAAAGGACTCAGAATGATACTACACAGTTATGTCATTTATACCATTTACACGTTATCTTAAATTTTGTAACGACCGTCACGTGATAGTGCTAGGAATCATCCGACCGTTACGCAGCCCATGGGCATCTCCCTTGACCATGGGCCTTAAAAAGGAGAGCAACGATTAGCGTCCAGCTGGTGACTATCGGCGATTAAATGCGAAAACCATTCTCGATCGTTACCTGTTGCCCCACATTCACGATTTGACAACTACCTTGAAAGGTACGATTGCCTTTTTGAAAGTCGACTTCGTTAGGGCTTACAGCCGAATTCCCATGGCTGCTGACAATATTCCTAAAACCACTAGCATTACTCCTTTCGGTCTCTACGAATTTTCACGCATGCCCTTCAGCCTAGGTAATTCTGCCCAAACATTCCAAATGTTCATATGTGATGTTTTTCGAGTTCTCAACTTCGGACATGCGTATGTTGATTAGTGTTTGATAGAAAATCCGGAAAGAAAATCCCATCTCAGGCACCTGGACCTTGTTTTCAAACG